ATGAAAAGATAAAACATTTGTTAATGTCAAGGTATATGTGTTTGATTGTAAATAAAGATATATGCATTGTATTCCCCATATTATTTCAAACATCTTTCTGTGTATGAATGTTTATCAGTTTTTATTAGTTTTGTCTTTGTTTTCTTTTCCCCCTTCTTTCTACAATGTATATGTTTAGGTAGGTTTTTATCTACTATTACTGTATTTTATATTTTGTAAATAATTTCAAATGCCTTAGTATAGGAAGTGACATTCAATATATTTAATAATTTATGGTATGTTTTCAGAAATACTCTCCCTTTAAATGTAAACAAATCTATTATGCATTATTTAAGGTTGTGTAATTAAACAGAACACTTCACTTGATAGACATGGATTCTGAATGATTCTGCATTTAACAGACGGTGACAATTATACAAAAACTTACAGTAACTTTTAAATAAAGTTATACATGGATTATCTTTTGTATACATGCACAGTGTTATATTTTCTGAAAGATGTGTGTCATAGCATACATTCTGTTAAAATATTATTTATAGCCTTTTAAAAATTATCTTACTGCCGACAGTGGACTGCCGACAGTGACAGAAATACTATAAAAAGAAGCATAGTCCAATAAAACAACAAATGGATTCTACATAATTTAGCCATAAATTCAAAATCTTTGTGGTGGAGATATACTGCCCTAATTAGACAAAAGAAAACAAACAATATTGAACAATGCAAATGTCCCAAAATATAAAAAAATATTTCAGCTATCCAGCTGACTCTGTTCAATGTGAAAGCTTGCATCTACTATTTTACACACAGGCTAATTCTTCAGACTAATTGCCTGCATATTGATTAGTGAAAAATATTTGACCTTTTATATCATTTTTTCCTTCAAATAATAAAGAATAAGATTTCAAGAGGAGGGATGGAAAAGGATCTCATATCTTATTTTCTTTCCTATAGGAATACAAGAATAGCAACAGAGCTGTGCTCAATTATGCCAAAGCTTTAATTATTCCATCAAGAGCCTACCTCTAAGAGGCTTGCAAACAGGATATCTGTGCAAGAAATACTTTATTTTCACTTTCTGGAAAATGGGTATTTAAAGGCATCCAGTTTCTAATACAAGTAGTCGTCAACAGAAAGTTACAAAAGGTGATCATATGACCCCGGGACACTGCAACTGTCATAAATATGAGCCAGTCGACATCTCTGCATTTTGATCATGTGACCATGATTCTGCAATGGTCATAAGTGTGAAAAAAGGTGATAAGTCATTTTTTTCAGTTCCATCGTAACTGAAACCGAGGACTACCTATACTGGAATCTTCTCCACAATACATCCATATACAAATGAACACGTGAAAGTTAAGCCACGGGGGACTGCACAGCTCTAATATCTCACAATGAAAGTGATTTGGAACGGCATATTACAGGTAGTCCTCAACTTATGACCATAATGGAGTCCAAAATGTATGTTGCTAAGCAAGAAATTTGTAAAGTGAGTTTTCCCCATTTTACAACTTTTCTTACCACATTTGTTAAGAGAATCAGTGCAGTTGTTAAGTTAGTAGCATGGTTGTTAAGAGAATCTGGCTTCCCCATTGACTTTGCTTGTCAGAAGGTCGCAAAAGGTGATCACATGACGCTAGGACACTGCAACCGTCATAAATATGAACCAGTTGTCAAGCATCCAAATATAAATCACATGACCATGGGGATGCTGCAAGGGTCATTAAGTGTGAAAAATGGTCCTAAGTTAATTTTTTCAGTGCCGTTCTAACTTCAAACAGTCACTAAATGAACTGTTGTTAAGCCGAGGACTACCTGTATATAAAGAAGAAGAACCAACTCCTCAAACTCAATATGGTTGGGCACCAAACGATGCAAAACCATGTTGAGTCAGGCTTGGCAAGGAAAGCAGATCCACAGCCACGCCGGCTACTGGAGGACGGAGCTCCGGGGAAACAAGTTCGGGAGGGAGAAGAGCGCGAAACGTCAACCACCCTCGGAGCGATTCTGAGCAGACGGGCCGGGCGCCTGGGAAAAAAGTTCCCCGTCCTTTCTTTGAAGAAACGGCGGCGGGGTCTCTCTTACAATGGCCTGCCACTCCCACACCGGCACTGCCCGTCTTCCCACGACACGCTGAACCCCGAATCAGCTCACTTTTCAGTCTAGACCAGTGGTTCTCAACCTGTGGGTCGAGACCCCATTTGGGGTCGATCGACCATTTCACGGGGGTCGCCAAGCAAGGCTGTCCGCCATTTTTTTTGTCCGCCATTTTTTTTGCCTGCCATTTTTTTCCCCTTTTCTGGCGGGTGCCTTACCTCCCTTGGGCTGGGCCAGCTGGTGGTCGGCCTGCTCCGTCTCTGCCGCTTGCCAGCTACGCCTCGGCCGGCGCAGGGGGTGGAACCACGCATGCGCGGCGCTCCTGGGCAGGGAAAGTCCTCGACTTACGACCGGTTGGGTAGTCCTCGACTTACGACCGGTTTAGTCCTCGACTTACGACCGGTTGGGGTCGCGGCATTAAAAAGGTTGAGAACCACTGGTCTAGACTCTAACCCGTTGGGCGAACCCAGGCCGCGGGGTCAGCATCGCGGTCCAGGGGGGGGGTCGTGCGACTTCGTAAAACTGGGTCAACTGAATAAATCAACGATTCAGCTCCTGACGCGGCTAGCCTACTGGATGAAGTAGGGTAAAAACGAAAGCGAAGAGGGTCTCGCCTTCCTTTGGCCCCGGTCCCTCTCCGCGCTTACCTAGGACCAGACGGGCCACGTCAGACGGCAGTAACATGATGGTGAGGAAAACGGGAACCAGCACTCCGTTCACCTCACCCGCCGGCGGGAGCGAGAGCGACCGCGACCCGCTTCCAAGCAGGGCGACGGCTTCTCTCTCTCTCCCCCCCCGTCCCCGATTTCTCCACTCGGAAAGGCGCCCAAACCTCCCCTCAAGAGAGCGAGCGCCAAAAGCCCCAACCCGCCCCCTCGCTTCGAGACTTCCGAGCCCAGAGCCACAACAAACGCTTTTCCGCTTCCGGGTTGGGGAAGGGGTGAAACGTTTCCCGCTTCTCCGCGGCTTTTTTTTTTTTTTTTTGTTAACCTCCTCGAGGCCACGTGGGCGATGGGCGAGTTAAGAACGACCCGAGCGCGCGCCTGATGGGCCAGAGCGAACGGCGGCCGGAGTCGCACGAGACCCCCGAACCCTCCTCCGCGGGGGACCCACGTTCAGGTCCGGGCTTGGCTTTCCCGCGCGAACCTCCCCCCTTGACAGTTTTCGCGTTCCTCCTTTGCCGCCTAGTCCAGGGGTAGGCAACCTTGGCTCTTTTATGACTCGTGGACTTCAACTCCCAGAATTCCTGAGCCAGCTGTGCTGGTTCAGGAATTCTGGGAGTTGAAGTCCACGAGTCATAAAAGAGCCAAGGTTGCCTACCCCTGGCCTAGTCGGTTTCGTCTTTCTCTCTCTTCCCCCCCCCCCATCTCTCTCCCTCCATCTCTCTTAATTTCTCTGTCTCTCCCTCTCTCTCTCTCTGTGTCTATCTCTCCCCTCCCCTTCCCCTCAGGGGAATGAAAACAGTTTTTGTTTTCTCTCTCCTCAAGAAGCAATAGCTCACTCTCTCCCCCCCCCTCCAACCTAGCCTTCTCCACAGCTTGTTGGGAGTGCAACTCCCATCATCCCGGCCTGACAGGCAACAGTCGTAAAAGGATGATTTGGAATTGTAATTCAGGATGACTTGGTGTAAAATGGTTAAGGCAGTGGTTCTCAACCTGTGGGTCGGGACCCCATTTGGGGTCGATCGACCATTTCACGGGGGTCGCCAAGCAAGGCTGTCTGCCATTTTTTTTGTCTGCCATTTCCCCCCCCCCTTTTCCGGCGGGTGCCTTACCTCCCTTGGGCTGGGCCAGCTGGTGGTCGGCCTGCTCCATCTCTGCCGCTTGCCAGCTACGCCTCGGCCAGAGCAGGGGGCGGAATCATGCATGCACGGCGCTCCCGGGCAGGGAAAGTCCTCAACTTACGACCGGTTTAGTCCTCGACTTACGACCGGTTGGGGTCGCGGCATTAAAAAGGTTGAGAACCACTGGGTTAAGGCATCAGGCTAGAACTCGGGAGACCGTGAATTCTAGTCCAGCCTTAGCTGAGTGACCTTGAGCTTGTCGCTTTCTCAGCTTTAGGAAGATGGCAATAGCAAAACACTTCTGAAAAAAATGTGCCAAGAAAACTGCAGGGCTTGGAATTCCAACTACTCCTGGCTTGGAGAGCAGGATGAAACATGGAGCTTTTAAATAGCTTCTGTATAAAGTGCTGAATTCCAGGGATTTAAGGTTAAATTATATGTAGGGTGGCATGCTACATATTTGCTTAGAGTGCTAGGAAAAGAAGCGTAAGCAGGTGAAAAAACAAGAACGAATGATGACACATAAAAATGACACTCAAAATGTTTGATTAATAAAAAGTTTCATTCTTTTTATTAATCAAAGCAATAGGTATGTGCTTTTCAGTGCCATCAACTTGTGCAGTCCTTTTGTTCAGGTCACTTGGCCTAAATTTGGCTTCTTCTGACCCTTGTCCATCTCTTTGATTTCAACAATCATTACAACCAAGAGTGACAGATCTGTAATATGACAAACCATGTTTGCTCACATTTATACAAATTGTACCATTATATATAAAAGAGGTTCTTAAGAATATATACACATCTAAGGGGTTTGTCTGTTGACCAGAATCTATCAAATAACCAGAAATAATCATTCCTAAGAAACTGTGTGTAGTAGATAAAATACTTTAAATATTTATTTTTTAATTAATTTAATTATTTAACTTATATGACATAGGTTATCATGATATAGGTGAAAATACTCTCCTGTTTGAAGAAAATCAACTTGGTGAAAAGATGGGTGTATATTTTGGAAGCAATGCTTTTTGCTAGCTCAAATATTTTAAATGGGTTAATTCAGTGAAGTTCTTACATTTTGTTGTTAACCTTACTGACATTTTACAAACTTAGGTTCATATTGGATGTGCACTCACAACACGTTGATTGAACCATGAATCTTGCAATTCATAATCTGTTGGCTTGCTGTCATCAGCTTGGAAGTGACAAAGCTATGGAAAGAAAGGTAAGCTTAATTCCTTTTCAAAAATATGACATTGCAATAAGGGAATATTACATATTTTTTGTGTTTCTGTACAAATACAGAAGGAAATTGAGAAGTTCAAGCGTCTTATCTGTGATCCAGAAACAGTTCAGCAGCTGGATCGGAATTCTGATTCCAAACACGGAAAACAGATGAACTGGGATGCTGTATTCAGGTAAGGTATTTATTGTATATCACAACAAACAGTCCCCCCTCCCCGCCTCCTATAAAGAAATAATAAAATAATAGAGTTGGAAGTAATTATTTAGACCACTTCTGCCAGAATTCAAAGATTATTGACAACAATGGTTTTATAGCTTATCTTGATCCCAAAGAACTGTGTGCAGCATACAATAAAAGACAGAGAAATAAAACATCAAAATAAAAAGGAATAAAAACCTAAACAAAGTAAAATAGAAAAAAATTTAAGATGGATGCCCTCAGTTGCAGTAGGTGGGTCTAAAAACACATGCACACTACACATTTCTCATTAAGGGAAATTTCCAACAGTTCCTCCCCAAATGAACAGATTAGGTGATTTAATTCTGTGGTGGGGTGGGAATCAGGTCTATCATCTGTAGGGACCCAGTGGGAAGGAGGAAAAGGCCTTCAGAGATCCGGTAGGGGAGGAGAAGGCCTGTGGGGACCCAATTAGCAGGAAGTGGAGCATAGTGTTTCGGGAGGGCCTTCTCCATCCTGAGACCCTCATTCTTCACTTAATGATCTGCACCTTTTATGGAATTTAATGGAATAATAGGGAGAGCAGGAAGTGAGGGTCGTTAGGCCATTTTGCTTAACCACTCTCAAGACATGCAGTCGTAATGGGCAGGCTCCGTTATGGTCATATGTTAAGGGCTACCTGTATTCAGATCATCTCTCATTTTTCTTAGTCTCATTCCCTGGTTGCCTGAAATTTTATTACCAATGCTTTTTTTTTAACCAATATCATGTATAAAACTATACTTCACCCTGAAAAATGTAGTGCAATGTGAGTAAGATACTTACTTAATTTATGATTAGTTATCAGGTGGATTTGTTATTTTGCCGAAGTGCAGGCAGTGGAGAATTACATGGCACTTTGATAATAAAGGAACTGGCAGTATTGGACAATAATGTATACTGAAATATATGATTGAATTTTAGTTTAAATAGCTTATGTATCTATTGACAATACCTTTTTATTGTTTTTGTAGGTTTTTGCAGAAATATATTCAGAAAGAGGTTGAGAGTGTCAGAGCAGCAAAATCAAATGCCTCTGCATCAAGCCAAGCAACACGTCAGAAAAAGATGAAACAGTTCAGTAGTTTGGTTAAGGATTTCATCATGTGTGCCAATAAAAGTGAGTGTCTTTTCTTTAAAAATACTTAAGACTTTAAAGAGTTGTGGTTGAGACAATATCTGTATAATAATAAATAATGGAGATTGTGTCAGTTGTAATAATTTATATTTGTTTATATTTTACTTTAGACCAGTGATGGCAAACCTTTTAGAGACCGAGTGCCCAAACTGCAACCCAAAACCCACTTATGCATCGTCGGGTGTCGGGTGGGTGTGGCCATTGGGTGGGTATGGCCCATTGGGTGGGTGTGGCCCATTGGGTGGGCGTGGCTGCGGTGGTAACGGTAGACTGGGTGGGACTAAAAAGTTCAATCAATTCCAACTTTGCAAGATCTTTTTTTTCCTGCGAGAAGTTGAAATTGACTGATTGAACCTTTTTTTTTTTTTTTGCACACAGCGGCAGAGGCCTAAAGCGAAAAGGTTTTATAAAACCCAGCTGAAGGCCTAGGACTGGGGCGATGGTGCGCGTGCCCACAGAGAGGGCTCTGAGTGTCGCCTCTGCACCCGTGCCATAGGTTCGCCACCACTGCTTTAGACTGTTAATTGCCTTGTGTATTGTGTTGGTAGTAAGATGATGTATTGAAAATCCTGTGGATAAAAAAGCTGGTGTAATAAATTAAATGAAAGAATTTAATTTATTGTTTGTCTTTTTGGCAGTTTGGGAGCTGCTCCACTTTTTTATGCTTGGTAAAATATAGTTTTGCAGGCAGATGGGTGGCAGTAATTGACAGGAATATAATTTGTAATTATTATTAAAATAAAATTCAATTGGATTTTGCCTTCTGTATTCTCAGTTTGGAGAATTGGAATGTCTAGATTGCCATTTATTTATTTTTAAGATAAAATATTAAGCATTTCAAAAGTTCTACTGCAGTTAAATTATGAATCCAAAATTATACTGTATCTTTGCAAAGGTACAAGAGGTACAAAGGTTGCAAAACTATTGTTTTTATTTTATTTGGGTAATTTGAATAGATTTTGAACATGATATAGCTCCATTCCATGAAACATTATAAACCTAAATTATACATCTATAATTTATAATTATAAACCTACCATTATACATCTAAAAACATGATTCTTTTAAGCTTTGCAGATATAGTGGATCTTTTCAGATTTAACTTATACATGTACTATTTCTGTTTTGCTAAAAGCTCATATTTATCTTTTGTTTCTACACAGGAGCCCCCAGAATAAAATGTCAGGAGCTTCTGAATTATGTAATAGACACAATCAATGAGTCATCAAGATATGCTATTTATGGGGCCGATTGTAATAGCATATTACTTAAGGACATTCTGAAAGTGAGGAAATATTGGTGTGAAATATCACCACAACAGTGGTCAGGTTAGTAGATGTGACTCCTGTCTGATATTCACTGGACTTGTGCAAATGCTTAGGAGCAAGTGCCCCTGAACTCAAAACTGTTGACCTTCTGTGGTAGCCCAGAAAAAAAATGATAGTTTTATATCATATCAAAAAAACCAGGACTGTGTCAATTAAAACAAGTCAGGATTACAGCAGTGCAAATAACTGTCATGGACTTGAATAGCATTTAGCGGAAAATAATGCCTGGAGCCTTCACAGGAAATAAGCAGTTGTCCCGAAGATTATCATGTGGTTGGCAATTCTTGAACTTCCAATAATGCCATTTCTGCAGTTTTTTCAGATTTCATGTTTATTGGTGTAATTAGTGATCATAGATGCCAGAAGGGTAGGGGAAGCTGGGGTCCTCAAAATCCAAAGCTGAAGAAAAGAGTCCAGGTGCTCTTATCTCAAATTAAGGCAATATGACTCTGACTTCCATAAAGTACAAGGGCAATTCGGAAATACACCTCCGTTTGAGCATGTGCGAGAGATAGGCGGGGATAACGATGGCCGTCCTATGGTGCCGTGCGCATTAGTTCAGTAGGCAGTGACGAGTGGAAGGAGAAAGTTGTGTTGCAGTTGACTCGTTCGCTAGATCAATTGAAACTGAATCCTGCCATAGAAAATCCCACCAAATGTGAAGTGCGTGCAGTGATATGATTCTTGTGTGCAAATCAGCAGCTGCGATTCATCGCGAACTGTAATGTTTACGGACCAAACGTGATGAGTGAAGGTGTTGTACGTCAATGGTATCGCAAGTTTAAAGATGGATGAACTGACGTGCACAATGAGGCAAGAAGTGCCGTCTGTAGTCAGTGATGAACAATGCGCTTCACGATGCTGTTACAGGGTGGTTTCATTCCAAGGCGGGAGATTTTTTTTGCAGAAGGAATTTCAAGCAATTCTGACATACAAGAATGAATAGCGGAAATGCATGCAAAATTTTTATTTATGTTGCCAATTATTTGTAATCTCATTAATGAATTTGATTGCTCCTCTAGATCTCCAAAATCTGTACTTCAACTTATTTCTCAATCCTTCTGGAGATGTTAACAAAGTTTTGGTGGCTAGAATAATCTATACATTAACTAGAGGCCTCTGTTTCCAAACTGACAAGTTCAATTCAGATATTTTGAACTTCTTCTCAAAAGTTGTACATCGTGCAAGGTAAATAGCATTTTCTTTTGCTGAGTCAAATTTGAATGTAAAATGATACCTTACAAAACATTTTTTGAATTTAATTTTCCATTAATCTGATAACTGCTGAGTTCATTTTAAGATTTAAATATTTTCTGTATCATACTGATAGGTCAAATGTTTTCAGTTTTTGTAACTAGTTTACTTTCATGTTTCTATTGTGGCCAAATTTAAAATTAAGAAATTGGAACTCTGTGAAATAAAATGTCTTTAAGGTCTACTTCTTCTCATGAAGAATTGTAGTCTTGAGCCCTGCTTGGTCTAATGAAGTAATTTATTAAATGCTTCTTCTGAATTCAGGATGCACTATAATTTCTGTTTGGTCTTTTCTGAAAGGTAGAATGTATTACATTTAGTCAGTTCTATAACCACAATCAACTGGCACCTTTCTTTTCATGACAATAAAGAGTGACTTTAGATAGCTATGGGATTATTTGAAACTGCTGATCTGTCACTAGCAGTTTTCAATAACTGTAATCTTTTCTAAAGTGTTATGATACTTATGACTCCTGGATTCTTATAATGCTGTCTTTATAGTAATAATTGTCTAGGTGTGGTGTGAGATGTATGTTGCTATAGAGAAAGGGAAACAAATAAAATATATTGTAGTTCCAAGCTTAATCATAGATCCTATGGTTGGATTCTTCAGCATCTGATAAAAATATGCCTTATTTATATTGTAGGCAAGAAAGAAACCTTGCAGGCCTCGACCACATTTTTGCAGCCATTAATGTGTTTTTCCCCATTTATGGAATGAATTACCGCATGCAAGTTTGCAAAACAGGAGAGGAAATTCTATCAACTGTGCTTTTTATATGGGCTCAGTACAAACCAAAAGATGCCTTGAAGGAACAGATCATTCAGTTTGTTCAGTTTCAGATTTGTATTCATCATCCAAATGGAGCTAAAACTCAGGAAGAAGGTACATGGAAAGCTTTGAAATAATATGGGTTGAATTCTCCAGGGCCTTATGTAATTTTTATATGTTGGTATTGGAAAAGTATGGGAGGATTCTGGGTCAACTTGCTCAACTTGTATGGTGGACCTGGTTAATGTTTTGTACAGGAGATCATCAAGAAATCATCAGATTAAAATGGGAAAGTATTCTGGAAGAAGATAATGCAAACCATTTATACAGTGGTGGTCTGTCTGTCTAAGTCCCTGCAATTTTCTTGGGAAGATTTTGGAAGTGGCTTGCCATTGCCTACTTCCTAGGGCTGAGAGACAGTGACTGGCCGAAGGCCACCTGCCTGGCTTCATGCCCAAGGCACGACTAGAACTCATGCTCTCCTATTCTTTAGCTTGATGCCTTAACCATTACATCGAATGGGCTCTCTGATATACAGGAATACAGCTTGATCCAGAAATGATAGGAACTATCTTTATATATTTTCATATGTCATAATTTTTCACAGTATTGTTTGCTTAAGTGTTTAAGTTTTTGTTGATCGTTTTAATGGACACGTATATGTTGCTAATTAATAATGATCTTTTAAATTCATATCTTTTACAAAATTATTTTTTCTAATTCTTGCACAAACAGGAGCATACAGCTCAGCAAAATGGCAGAATACTTTATACAACCTCTATGATCTGTTAGCTAATGAGATAACGCTTACTAGCAGCCGAGGAAAATATTCTTCAGGCTCACGCCGTATTGTTCTAAAGGACAACCTGGTTGAGTTAATGGCTGATTCTTGTCATCAGGTAAACTGTCACTGTACTTTCATATGGTTATTCTAACTTGGGTTTCTATTCTATTCTAACCTATCAGAATACCACATCAGGGCAGTACAAGGGAGATCTGTCTGCTTGATCTTGCACAATTTGGCAGCCTTTTTTCTTAACTGATTAAAAAGAAAAGTCTTCAAGAGTTCCAGGAGGCGTGGTTGATGATATTCTGTTGTTATTGGGAGCTGACATTTTCAGCAATTTGTTAACTTTGTGGAAGTTTTTAAGAGGCAAAATTGATTTGTTAAGCCTCATGGAAACTTAATAATACACAATTTATGTTTAGTTTACAGTAAAACCTACAGAAAATCATGGGAATTAAATTTGTCAGTAAGATCTGAAGATATTCTAGCTATTGTTTTGGAGATGGGGTTTACCTAGTGGCAATGGATAGCCCATTTTGTGATCTTAATATTTTTTTTTGTACTGCACATCTGTTGTAAAATATGTAACAGTATTTTTATTTAATTTTTTACATGCCTTTTTTTTAAACAAGGTGTTTACTGAAGACATCAAAGTCTTGGAAGTAACCCAGTCATATGCAGTTATTCCACAAGAAGCTGAAGATGGAGAAGGACCATCCAAACGTAGAAAAATTGAATTAGGATGGGAAGTGATTCAAGAACATTTGCAAAAATCACAGAATAGTTTTGATGTCATACCCTGGTAAATAAAAATGAAAGAAAAATAGTTTAGTTTATTTCTGAACCTTACTGTGTTTCCCCGAAAGTAAGACCTGCCCCATAAATAAGCCCTAGCTTGATTTTTGGGTGTGGGATTAATGCAAGGCCTTTCCGGAAGGCCTGTGCAGCCGAGGACCAAGCTAAGGATTAAATCCATAGCTCGGTCCTCGGCTGCAGAGGCCTTCCGGAAAGGCCTCTGACTGCGAAATACAGGCCGGAGCTCCATTCTCAGCTGCAGAATGAAGCTGCTCCTTCAGCTGCAGAAGAAGTGGGCCGGCTGGGTGGGGCTGTTGGTGCCGTCACCACGAGGTGAATGAAAAAGACAACCCCCCAAAATAAGACCTGGTGCCTCTTTTGGAGGCAAAAAAAAGACAGACTTATTTTGGGGAAACACACTATTATTCATTTCCTCTTTTGATCTTCGTTGTTTTGTTTTCAAGGCTGCAGATTACCACCAGATTAATATCCAAGTACCCAAGGAGTCTTCCTGACAATGAGTTGACTAATTTACTTAATATACTTTACCAATTATTACTTCAGCAACGTCGAGGAGAACGGACCCCTTATGTATTAAGATGTCTTAAAGAGGTTGCTCTGTGTCAAAGCCAAAAAATAGATCTCAGTATCACACAGAAGTTTGAACTGCAACGAACATGGTCCAGAATTTGGTCTCTGGTAGATCGAAGTTTAAACCTTCGACAAACTGAAATGGAAAGCTTTGAATTGCTTGGAGTCCTATTTCAAAGCAATTTAATAACAACGGACAGGGAAATTTGGAGGATATTTGCAGGTTCTATATGCAAACCATCAAGGTAAAATGAAACTCATTCAATTATTAATTGTATGTTAATTGTAAAGGAGTAAACTCTTTTTTGTTCTGGCCAATGATGAAACATGAGAGATGTAATTCAAAATATGTAACATTAGATGGTCTGCCTTTGCGCTACAAGCACTAGAAATTTGGTTAAAATTTCTCAATTTTATATTTAGCAAATTGTTTTCAATCATTAGTTCTGTTTAGCATAAGTACTGCTAGAAATAAATACTGGCCTATATATCATTGGTATCCTAGTCCGAACTACCCTGAAGGGGTGACAGAACTACGAGAAAGCTATATTTCAAATAATGAATTACTGATTAGATAGGAAGGAACACATCCTGGGCTCACACAGTGTCATAGTATTTTTTTTTGTGTGTTTTTTTAATTATTGTTGACTAAACAAAATGGCTGATTTCACCTATTTTATATAGCTACTAAGAAACTACATTTTAATTTGCCATATTTCTGATATCTTAACTATAGTATGGTTTAGATTATATGCTTTTTCTCTCCAGTCTTACATTTATTATCTGTAACCTCTGATTTGATCTTTTCTAGCCTAATTTCACCAGATACATGAACACTGTCTAGACTAGCAGAGTTGATGAGAAGTTTAACTACTATTCTTTATTTATTTATCAAATATTTTAATTAGATTTTACAAACCCTTTTAAAATTCTGTTTACCATTCTAATTCTGATTGGTGAAATCTTAATTAAATTTGATGTGGTTTTGGCCATGATGAGAAGAATATTGGAGCCTGAATTCACACACTGGTGACATTATATGAATATTAAAGCTGTAAATCAAGTGCTTGTATTTATTGTTATTATTTGTTAGTTTTGCTGTACAGTGTTTAGCATCAGCGATGACAGCTTTGGAAATACCAGAAACTTTGAAAACTGGATCATTTCAGAATGATTGGGAAGGAAATGCAACTTATACACTAAAAGAACGAGTTGTGAAATGGCTTCTCTTCTGCTCTGTGGAGGAAGTTATGGAAGATAGCATGGAACTCCCTCCAGTTTTGTGCAGGTATGCCCAGGAAATCAAGCAACTTAAAAAGAATTAGTTGTTCATTGGAGGAAATCAAACTTCTTTGGGTTTGTTTGTTTTTAATTTTACTTTGGTAAGAGTTTAGACTAGAGTATTACTTTGCAGAAATTTCATAGTGGATTAGAATTTAAATCACTTTGCCTTAAAATGTTCTTAGTTTTAACAACTTGTAACAAGTAATTGGTTTGAAGTCAAGTTTACAAAAGTAATAACAAATCTGCATTTTAGTGTGAATTTTTAGCAGAACAAACTTATCTCACAACAGTTTGCTTTCTACATTGTTATGCAGTTGAATGGCATGTAAATACATAGTGTTTTATGAAGAATATATAATATTTTCCATTTTTAAGGAAGTATCCAAACATACCATACAGGAAAACTTCTATAAATACAAAATACAAGTCCCGGGATTTAGTTTTCTTCTTTAGCTCTTGTGCTGCAAAATGTCACTCTAGTTCCACCCTACCCTAATCAGGAAAGAGTTGGCTCCTTCTACCTCCTCTCACTAGTTTTATTTTTACTTTTTTTAGTTCCATTTTCTTTTGGTTTAGTGTTTTGTAAACTTTTAGCAATTTGTATCATTTTTCTTTTCTTCTGTGTAACTGAAAAGCATACTGTATTGTATCACAGCCTACACAGATAAAAGGATCTAATGTATTTCAAGTCTAAGAGGCTCACAATAGTCTTGAAATGGTCACATGGACCATTATTGCTCATAGAAAAAATGCAAACCTGAAGTCCACATTTGTTGAGTGTAACCTTTTTCTAATTATCCAGGAAAAAAAAGGATACTTTTTAGTTCAGTCTAACCTAATAGCATCTCATACCTGGATATACATTTGACCACAGATTGGAATTGGGAGAATGTTTCAGTCCAGGACCTTGTAAATGGAACTAAATTTCCCCCCTCAGTTCATCTTTAGTTATTTTCAGCTTTTCGTAATATGATGGACATCATTTACTTAGGATTTTTTTCAATAATTGCTTCCTTGAGTTCTTGTAATTTTCTGCTTCTATCATCCGTGATCTAGCCACCTTGTCTTCTTTTGACCTCTTTGTCGAACTTTTCCAAACATCATGGGCTTCTTGAATTACTCTTGCCTTCATATAATGTATAAAAATATTTTAACTTCACAGTTAGTGCTTACAGTGAGCAATTTAAACGCTCTTCCTTCTAATAGCAGATGGATTATATGAAAATTTGTTCTATGAAAAATTTGACTGGGAGGTGATGTTCCAAGTACCCAAGAGGGGTAGCAAACAAACAAACAAACAAATACTTCTACCAAATACTTGATGCACAGTGAAAAATTAGACATTCATATGCATCCTCTATTAATCTATTAACACTGCAGTATTTAAACATATAAAAATACTGGTATATTGCATCACAAAAGAATTCTGTTTTTTTTTTTCAGTGACTTTCCTAAGCTAGAATTACAGAAGATCCTTGTAAGTCTGACTATGAAAAATTGTAGAGCGGCAATGGCATTTTTCAACAGTGCACCAAAATGGTATGTTTTTTTAAAAATTAATGAAGATATTTTCATAACTTGAAAATTATTTTAAATCTGAGTGTAGTTACAAAAACTTGAATAGCATTCTAGATTATTTGATAGCATGGGCTTATATGCACCATATAGTCTTGTGGAAATTATCTACTTCTTAAAAATATTATGTATGTATGTCTTCTAATATCCAAAAGGTATTCACAAAGAGTTTGCATTGTCTTGCTTCATTAGAAGCATTTGATACCACATGGTATTGTAGCTTTTGAAATCAATATTTGAAATGAAATATTTACATGTAATTGTTTATATTAGATGCAGATAGATATAGATGCAGATGCAGACTTGGACAAATACATACATTCTCTCTGTGTGTGTGTGTATGTGTACACATGTGACTTGATTGAGAACATTTATTTTCTGATACTAATAGTTAATGTTTGCTCTGAAAAAGGTGAAATAAAAAAGTTTTATCTTTTGTTGGACACTATATTTTTGTCCAAATATATTTGGAAAAGGTAAATTTAGTCATACCTAATATCTGTTTTTTTCTTCTTTTGTTTGGTTCTGTTTTTGAATCTAAAGACATCCTTTTAAGAATCTGGAATTGTTTTATTACATATAATACATGCATGAATACTGTTCTCATACAAATAGGTATCCCCAAAATGTCGGATATGATATAAATTTTATCTCTAAGTTGTTGCCCTTAAAATGCTGTTCTTCCTTTCCCTTTCAGAGGATAGAGCTGTTAGTTTGTGTGTTTGTTAGAATTATCCTCTGCTTCTTTCAAGGAGCTTAAGACAGCTTATATGGGAATCTCTACTCTATCCCCTGTAAGATAGGTTGGACTGAAAGAGTGAGTGGTGTCTTCTAGAGCCACCCAGTGAATTTCCATGGCTGATGGTGGATCTGAACCTGGATTTCCCCAGTCAAACACTATGAACCATGTTTGCCCAAAATGTTGATCTTGCCCGGGCTGCATTGACTGAAGAGAAATTGTCTTGAGCTGCATATAAAATATAGTTAATATATATAACAAACTTCCTTTAGTTTTTATATTTTTTATTTATTTTGTGGAGTCACATTACTAGTTGTTTAGGACCATATGTGTCCATGGGCCACATGTCGGACACGCCTGCTTTAGACACTATTTCACACTGGTTCTCTCCTATTTAACTCCTCTCTGTTCTAGATACATTGCTGTAAAACAGGATTTTTAAATATAGTGTGTCGTACAGGCCATAAAGAACTTTGAACCCCAAAAGTTATTTTAGATTTAAATATAAAAGCCAGCCAACTATATTAGGGCTGAACATTATTTTTCAGCTTAGCATCTTCTAAGCCACTGTTACTCTCTGGCCCTATATTTTTACCTTGGTTGTCTTCTTTGCATATACTTTGCACTCCTTTTTTTAATAAAATACATGTAATTCTCAATTTACAACTGAATTCTAATTTTCCATTGCTAAGCAAGATAGTTGTTAAGTGAGTTTTGCCACAGTTGTTAAGTGAATCACTGCAGTTGTTAAGTTAGTAACACAGTTGAAAAGTGATCTGGTTTCCCCATTAAACTTGCTTGTCAAAGGTTTGCAAATGGTGATCACATGACCCTGGGACACTGCAGCCATCATAAATACATGCCAGTTGCTAAGCGACTGAATTTTGATCATGTGACTATGGGGATGCTGCAACAGTCATGTGTGAAAAATAGTCATAAGTCACTTTTCAGGGCCATTGTAACTTTGGTCAGTACATGAATAGTGGTCAGTCGTGGACTACCTGTATCTTCACAAACAGTTTAAAATGAATTATTGAACTCTGATAATAAAGTTTAATGTGACTGAGTCATCCATTCCATAACTTGTTTAGGCCTGAATAAGTATAGTGAGCACTGAACTCTGCACAAATTTCATGTACCAACTTCAGAAATCATAGAACTGCCTTTCTGGGTGGGAGGGGAGTTTAACCATTATTGGATGCTTATTAACAAGTGATAAATAAATGAAAATAAACTTTGTTTTATTAAGCATGGAACATACCCAAGAGAAAGAAGAAACCAGTCTTTCAGAAATTGAAGCTTTTTACCTGCAGACAACCTTCAATGAAATCAATAGTTTTACAAATATGGCAGATGTATCAGAACACAAATCTTCTAGTTCCTGCCTCATTGTCAATCAGAGGCTTGAAGAAACCTTAAAACACGATCTTCTGATGATGTTGGAGCAGCTACTTAGCAACGTTTCTCTTGAGGTAAGCCAGAAAGAAAATTGAGCTCTGTGTTCATTGTGATGGGGTTATTAAAGTCTGACTTGTTTCCTATATATTTATGAATAGATTTAGGTGTTGGTAAAATGACTAAAATAGATTATGGATAAACAGGTTTTTAGGCCAGGGATGGATATGGCAATTTGAGAGCAAATCCACTTACAACTTGATCTGAAATCAAAATGTTCGTGGACAAACCAGTCTCATCCAAATGTAGATGACTTTGACCAGTTGGAAAACTTTAGCTTACCAAAAATGCATATTAAACTCCAATGTGGGTTTGCTCATTTTTCAGACTATACCTGTGGAAATTCTGATGCGGTTTACCAGCCTCTTGACTGGTGTTCTTGGCTGCTATTGTTATGCTGGCATTCTTACAGAAGAAGAAGCACGTAAACTGGATTTTTTTCAAAAAGCTAAGGTAGAACATTTTCATTTAAGTTAAAGTAATTGTTCCGAGTAGATATGAAGAAGCATTTATATGAGGATTAATCTCCAGAATTGATATAATCTCAAGAATCACATGAAGATGTCTGTAGTGTATGACCTCCTTCAGGTTTCATCCTCTTCAATTCATTTTCTAACTTCATCTTGGATAGTTTTTCTTCTCAGTCCTTTATAGACTTCTGTTGATATGCTTCTTTTAAATTTCCAGATGGGGTAATGGTGGGAAAAGAAAAAGACCAGGAAGCAATAAATTTGCAAATGAGATCAAGGAAGCATTAAGCATTGGAGAAGCATTAAGACGGTGTCTGTGTTTTTATTGGCAGTCCTTGCTTAACAATGGTAATTGGGAGCGGAATTTCCATGGCTAAGCGATGCAGTCAAAAGTGCAATGTCACATGACTACATTGCTTAGTGACAACTATCCTGGGAGTCCCCGATGTTATCATTAAGCAGACCTCCTTGCAACATCTTGCCAACTTTCAAAGCACATTCAGTGGGGAAGTTGGCAGGAAATTGTAAGTCCCAGGAGGTCTGCCAGCAGTCTGGTAAGCAGGAAAGTAGCAGCTGCCAGGTAGGGGCAGGTGCATGGGTGGTCAGTATGGGGGGGGGGGCTACTGCCAGGTCTGGGAAACTTACCAGTGCAACTTGCTGACTTCCCTGCATTGATTACTTGTGGGAAGCCAGCAATGAAGGTTGCAAATGGCATGGGATGCTGCAAATGTGAGCAAATTGCCAAGTGCCCAAATGAACATAGGGGCTTTGGGATGGCCAGAACTTTGGGGGGACCAGTTGTAAGATTCATTCATTCATTTGTTCATTCATTCATTTATGCATTCATTCATTCATTCATTTATTCAAAGCCTTTATAACTTCAAACAGTCATTGAATGAGTAGTCATTAACTGAGGACTAGTTGTATTGTTTTGCAAAGCAATGGTGACCAAGCAAAAATCAGCTTAATTCCTTATTCGCTGCAGTAGTAAAACAATTTGATTTATGTTGTAGAAAAATTACTCAAGAATGCATGTTGTTGCATGTGTATACTGTATAAAAATTATTCAAGAATAAATATTTACTGCAAAATATAAGCATGGATAAAGTGCCTGTATGAAATACTGTCCCCAAAGTCTTGAGAGCTAAATTGTCTCCCGTCGCCCATGAATGGAATTTCATTCTCTTATAAAAGTTCTAACCACTTATCTGAAAGTGTTATGAAGACGTGGTGTGAAGAAGGGAAAATAGGTTTTAGACACCTTAAGGAAAGAGTGATTGGGTAAACCAGGCCTTTCCATGCGTTCTCGGTGGCCTGAAATCTTATCTCCTAACAAAAATCATACTGCCAATTAATACATCCAGCACTCTCAGGAATGTAGACGCAAATGCATTGAGTAATTATGCAAAAATCTAGTTCTCTGGAGAAGACTCTCATGTTGGAAAAGGAAGAAGAGGAAGACCAGCTACAAGGTAGGTAGATTCAATTACAGGGGTGATGATCATTTCATGGAGAAAACCCATCTACATGATCGCCCAAGAGTTGACATTGACTTGATGGCACATAATTAAATTAGCAGTGAATAAGAACCTGATTCTTGCATTGTTTTTGCAAAGTGTTCAAAGAGCCAGTATTTTAAGAGGTAAAATATAAATTAATTCAGCTTACTCTTCTTTAAAAGCCCCTTGAGTACAAATTGAAAATGCAGTGGCTTCACAGAGATATTGTAGTTTAGCCTTGTAATTTCATATGAAAAGAATTGACACATGAGCTAAGAAATTTTTAATATTGGAGATGTTGAACTTGTTCCTTTGTTCTTTCCTTGACAAATCCTATCTGTAAATCAAAGCTTCTGGGGAAAACATTAATTTAGCTTAACATCATAGTATTTAAGTGGTGCTATATCCTTAATGAATCAGAAGAGCAAGGATTAGTAAATTTATTATTCTGTCTAAGCCTTTGATAATGAGAAGGTTGAAATTAAAATTTGTTTAATATTATTTCTGGGCTTCAACTTCACACATATATGTGGAAAAAAGTTGTCTACAATTTTATACTTGTCACAAAGCATCAGTTCTCATTAGCTACATAGGTAGTGATGATGATTGGTTGCATTTTCCAAGTTGGATGTGGAGATTCAGTTTCTGGATCTATCTAATGAATATGGTCTAAGCAAATACATTTTTGGGCTTGCATAAATTTTATCCTTGTAGACTTTAACTTTTTATTTTGACAGATAATAATTGGACTTAGCACACAAATGTGAATTATAATACTGGCTAAGTAGACAGACCAACATTTGAGTTCATTATCAAAATATTCATTAATTGTAGATAAATGCAGTTTGAAGGTTGGACTTTTTCAATCTCTTTTTAGGGATTCTTTTGACAAATTAAAATATTTTGAGCAAAACATGCCACATCTTAATGCAGTTAATTTATTAACAGTTGTAACTGGTTCTGTTTGGCAATGGACATAGTGAATAAGGGCAATATACAGAATATCCATATATGTCTATATCTATATCTATGTATATTTAAGATGAAAACTCTTAAATCATTTCATTTTATTCCTTTACAGTTATGTTTTAATTATGTGGAGGAAAGCATTTCTCAATCTAAAAACAAGCTAACTGAAGATTCTAGAATTGTTTCATTGAGGAATTTAATATTGCAGTGCACAAGTTGTTTATGCAACTGTAGCCAGGTGAGACTTTTGTTGGTCGTAGGGCAATCTTGAGTGTGAGCAAAATTGAAATCTCTGTATTTATGCCTAATTACTAACATATATATTTTGCAGAAAAATATGGAGGTATAGTTTATATAATATTGAAACTGCTTTATTATTTTAGTATGTGCAATGAGATTTTTGCAAATTATTCCTTCAATTACTGATTGTATAAGACCTAAAATGCCTAGGGGTGTTTTATTTCTTGTGAGGCTGAATCAGTCAGATTGACTTCAATGAAAATTAGGCAGTACTGATTTGAAGAAAGGACATTGATTCTGAAATTGATCCTTGCTTCTCAGGTAGCAGTATATTTCAAATTTTATCCTACAGCTTTAAAATTTCTTTTTAATAATACTTCCAGTCTTTCATTTAGTGTAATTTTACTTGGGTTGTTTGCATTTTACCTGAGCTATTTGCTTCTCATTAAAAGCATGTTCCCCAAGATGCACGGGGAATTGATTACAGGTTACTGTAGATTATTTTACATTGCAAAAAGCCAAATGCTTCATTATATTCTTTTACAATTATTGTGTCTTCTGCTTTTATTTGTTGGCTATTTAAATTTAGTGGCTGCCCAACTCCAGCAGATGCAGGACAATGTACAAAACTAAAAAAAGACAAAAATAGCTAAAAGTATTAATCAAATAGACAACCCTAGCTAAAATAAACTAATAATAGCAAACTCAACAAAATAAGGAACATTGAACAAATAATAAATATCAACCCTAGGTCTTCAATGCCAGGTTTTCAAAGCTTTCTGGAAGTCTAGGAGAGATGGTGATACTTATCTCTTCTTATTCTTCTTACTCTGTTTCAACAGAATAGTCCTAAAAAGAGTTTGTCTACCATCTTCTTGCATTTGTTAACATCCAAGTTGATGAATGATCTTGCAAATATCTGCAAACTTCTGGTGAGTAGATATGATGTGAGGTTTGTTTACCTCCCAGAGACTGTATTTTTAAGATGAAGAATTCATTCTAGTCAGTGTTTGGAATTCATGCTGTGATTCCTTCATTTTCTTTAAACAAATGGAAAATAACCTTTCTCTGTCCTTTTCCACATCTTTCTCTTTACACTTACATCACTCTATTTGCAGACTTGTATACCTTTAACCGTGGTAGGGAGCAGCGGTACTTCATTGCTATAATTAATCTCTTTCAGTTAGATAAGCATCATGTGAGCAAACACAGATTTTAAAGTTCATTCTGCTTGATAGAACAGTACTTAATGCAGAAGAGTAAATGCTGTGGACAACTTGAATGGCAATATCCAGTGTCTATATTCCTCTTAGGAACTGTACAACTGTGTTTCCTCTACTGCCACTTACTTGCTTCTCAAAATAAAAAAAAAATAACCTATCTCTGGCAAATGGTATATTACCTAAGTACAGTCACAGTCTTGCCTATGACTATTTTCTCAGTAACAGTAACTGCTATGAAGTAAGTAATCAAGTAATTGGTTACAAAATGTGCAGCACATAAAGGTTAATAAGTTAAATCTTTATAAATAGTTTATTCTAGTTTTATATAAAGCACAATAAAAATTTCACTAATTTTCATATAATTATTAAGCTGTAGTCATATTGGTTTTATTGGCTTTAGTTATTAAAAGCAGGAAAACTGAACAGAGATTTTGTTCCTGTGTAAATTCCACAGCCAAGGAAAGTCAACACGAAAAACGTAGCTCTATTTCTTTGCTTAAATTGCTTAAATTATCTTATTAATTACTAAATTCTAAATTGACTTTCTTTGCAAACACCCCCATTTTATGGAAACTTTATTATACAAAGTAGCCAATCAACATTCAAACATTAATGAACATGTGGAAGTGAAGCTTCTTTACTGAAGCAAGACTTTAACAAAAAGATGTTGTCTAGTTTTTATCTAGAGGTATTTGTAGGGAAGAGGTAAATAGATGTTATTCATAAAATTACATTTATTTAAATTTATTACATATTTATTATAATGTATTGCTCTCATTATAAGAGAGATGGTATGAATAAATATCTTCTATTAGATGTTTTCTACTGGAAAGTCAAGTGAAGCTGGAGAAGTGGACTTAATGGAAGATTTTCCTGAAGAAAGTAGAATGGAAGAGGGAAACCAAACAGTCTTTGATCTATTTGATGATGAGAGTAATGAAGTTGGTGAGGTGAATGAAGTTGGAGACTTACACACCTTGAAAGGTATATTTAGTCTGTTTGATGTATATTTTTGTGTGATTGAATGCTTTTAGAAAAAATGTGTTTGGGAAGTGAGGAATTATAATTCAGGTACTTGAAGCAACTTCAAAAAAATACACCAGAAATTATTGTGATACAATGATTTGTATGAGAATTTATAAAATAAAGGCTTTTGTAATGTCCATATAGCATTCACAAGATTAACAGCTGCTTTTTGGACCATGTTACTTCCTTAATGACCAAAGAGGAAGTAAGGTCATACAGAAAGTCCAGTTGCACTCACATGATTTTCTGCTCAGTGATTGAGTTGCTGTTCCCAAATGTGGTTACTATGTGAGGAATACCTTTACTTGTGATTACTGCCTCTTTCAGAACTCAGTTTTGTGTGTCCTTTACCAACTGATACTTCGTTATAGAGCTTTTAAAAAAGAGCACATGATCACCATTTTGGAATCTGTTCAGAGTCTTCTATTTTTTTCAGTTGGAGATTCTAAGGATGTTTTTTGTGATATGAGCAACCCTATAACTTTCATACATTGAATTATAAGGTAGGGCATAATAGGGCAGTGAGAACTATAAGGCATCCACATCAAGGCAAGTATCTATATCAGGAGTATCAAACTGCCGGCCCGCAGTCCGGATGCATCATAGCGAAACCGCACCTACCCCATTGCCGGCAATGGCAAAAAAGTTGTGATACGTCGGGTATGTAGACACAGAAGTGTAATTAGAGTGTGTAGACCAAAGACTTGTTCTGTCATCCCATAGTTGAAGACCTTGTATATTTCATCCCATGGTTCAGTTGTGTTGTTTTGGAGATGCTTAGAAAAATTGCCATATGGCAGGTTTTGAAAAGACTGAGGTGATGACTTTGTTTTCTGTTTTAAAAAACCCTCAAAGCAGGGCAATGCTGCCTATCTAAATAAACAAGGTATATTGATAAACATTAATTCTCTGACTCTTTTAAACTTCTACAGGTTGATAATTCACATTATACTTTCCTCATGCCAATGTTATGTTAATACATTTTTGTAGTATTGTTATATTTTTACCTAATTTCATTTTATATGTAATAGCCAATGTGTTAATTGGCGGAAGGTAAGCAGAAAATAATATGCATTCTGATTAAGTGCAATTGGTTATGGCTTCCTGACAGATAATTAAGTATAAGTTTTGAGAGCTGTCTTTTCATAGCTTTTATATGTTCATCACACAGGTGCCAAAAGTCCATTATCAGAAGACCATCTGTCTAAGCAGGATTTGCTTCTTCTTGATGTTTTGAAGTTCTTGTGTATAGCTACCACAGCAACCACAGTACAAACAGTTCCCTTTAGATGTTCCGAAATTTGGAGGAAACTTTTAGTGCTAATTGATGGAAATTCATTTGATTTTATCAAACCTTTACATTTACATGTGGTGAGTATAATGAAATACTATTTTGTTTTGCCTTCTGTTTTTAATGCTGTTGGAGTGTAACTTATTTTAAAATAAGTTAACTTATTTTATTTCTACACCAGCCTTTGTTTCAGAGAAATTAAGAGTGACAAAAAGCTCACAAACAATAACATAGTCTTAAAACCATCACAATAAAATCAGCTGGGACTACCTTGTAAATATCTGGGTTATTAGCTGTTTAGGATTTTATAGACTAATTTCAGCAGTTCACATTAGGCCTAGTAGTTCATGAGTGATAAGAGCAGCAGATTGAGGACCTGTTTATTTGGAAAATCAAGCAGCTCTGTTCCATTCTAGATGTAATTTCCAGAGGTACCAGTGTACAGTGCATTGTAGTTATCAAGAAGTTATTGGAATACGGATCATTGTACAGGGTTATAGCTGTATACTGCCATATCTGAGCATAGGTCTGTTTTGAAAAAACCAATGTTGACAACTGAAGGATTCTTTTTGCTGTACTATCAAGCATATTTTTGTGTCAATTATACATTTTTGAATAATAATATACTTAAAAGTATATATAAATAAAAGTATATTTTAAGAAGAGATTGGACAACCATTTGTCTGAAATAGTATAGGGTTTCCCTTCCAACTCTCTTGTTCTGTTATAAAAATTATATCTTCAATATAAATTTGCTCACATACTAAATATAAATGCAGTATAATTTTGTGCATTCACACAGTTGTACATAAACATTGATATTATGTCTTTAATTGTGGTTTTCACTAGTATTTAGTCTTGTTGAAGGAACTTCCCAGTGGAGAAAACCCCTTGCCAGAAGAATATGTTGTCTCTTTACTCAAGCTTCTACCGTAAGAAAATAATCTTGCTTAATAAAATTAATTCGCTATATTTATTTTGAGATTCAAATGTTTAGTTATTTCTTGTAGGGAGATATGTTCCTTTTATCGTTGGGATCAAGATGTTTGTGCAGCAATATTACATAACCTTCTTCCAATGGTTACTATTTTGGGAACCTTCAATAGAAATTCCGAAGATCTAAGAGAAGCCCGGTGTCAAATCTTAGCTGTTGTTGGAGCATTTTGGTAAGTTAAGTGTAAGTTCAGCTCCAGATTATTTGCTATTAGGGAAAGATTGAATGGAAGATCTTCCTGAAGGCTCGCTATGACATGTTTCATAAACATTTCACAATTCAACCATGTTAAGTAAGTTTCACTTGGTCTACAACTCCCTTTTATAGGGGAAGATGTTAGAGAAGGTGGTAAATTGACAATTACAGAGCATGAAGCATTTTTAATAGCAGTAAAGTGAATGCAGAACTAAGTATTAATTTTATTGTCTGGGATATTCTTTCATTTGTTTAAGTAAAATTAAGCGTAAATATGCTTATATATAATTATGTATAAGCATATTGATTTCAATCAAATTTAGGCCTAAATGTATGCATCCAATCTTCAGTATTTAAAGATAGTGAGACACCAATTCAATTAAATGAGTGTTAGATTGAGTTTCTATAAGAAATTTCCACTAATTTTACTGGCAGTTGTTCTGAAATAACTAGGATTTGCAACTTAAGTGTATTCATTTAAGGACTTCATTATTTTGAAGACACAAAAGTAATTTATTTAATGCAATTCAAGTTGTAATACAGTGGTGGAAATAGATACCTTTTAATAAAATTGAAAAATGGCAATTGAACAAATGGTCCTTAGCAAAACCAATGATTAGTACAGTTTAGTTTAACTTTTCTGAAATTTAAAAACTAACAAAAATCCTTTGAAATGTTTAATAAAAAAACACAGTATATTTCAAAAATCCTAAAAACAATTTTGTATGTTTTGACTTTTTTTTAAAGAATAGGTTATATTTTATTAAATGCTTTCTATTTCAGGCATTTAGCAAATGAAGGGAAATGTTCAGTTCTTGTAAGAATTTCTTTAGTGAATTGTATGACAGCCTTCCTTCATGTAAGTAAAAATCCAGAAGCATTTAAGAACTACTATTATTGCTATTAAAGTACTACTTATTTAGATTTCTAAATCTATAAAAATACAATGAAGACAGTTCTTTTTTCCCATTTTTCCCCCCAGGCTGACCCTTATTCAGAATGGGCTGTGCTTACATTTAAAAGTGAAAATTTACCTGTGAGAGATGCTTTTCCTCAATTTCTTGCAGATAACAACTTTCAAGTTTGTACGATTGCAGCTAAGTCAGCAATCAGGTATACATGTACAGAGTCTTAGAGTTACAGTTTGTCTCTAGTTTATTAAAATCAACACAATTAAAATTATTTATATTGCTAGTTTATTAAAATTACTTAACAGTTCATCTCCTTTCAGAAATATATGACATGAAAATAAAGAACTAAGGAACCTGCTTAAACCATTCTTCTTTCAAATGCTTCATGTTTGAAGATTTAGGATAGGACTGGATATACCTAGCACTATCTGCTCAGGAGGCAGAAAAAAATCTTGTTCTAATAAATAACACTATCAGAAATTTATGATGAATCTTTCTTCAGGAAGGTGGCAGTTTGATTTTGAAAGAGCTGCAGTAGTCTGTTATGTCTGTTTGTCTTTCAATTTGTGTTCATGTCTCTTAAGAAAAAGCTAGTTCCCTAAGCTAGAAAACAAGTTTAGCTAAATTCTTATTCTACAAGTTGATTACTTTTGGGAGGAAATTCAAGCTGATAAATTTTATTTTGTTAAAACATTATTTTAGAGAGAGAAAAACTCCATGAGAACAAAATGGAAACAACACAAATCTATTTTATTTTAGAAAAGAATATACACTTTAATTCTAAATTTCCTTTCTCTCTGCTTGATCATAAGTTTGTTCCAAGATGTGAAACTGAGGGATACTACTGGTTTAGTGAAAGGTCTTCCTTTGAAATTCCAACAACGAGCTTTTGAGAATTTGTACATCAAAGTTCAAGAAGGAGCAAAAAATTTGGTAATAATTATTACTAAGCATGCATGAAGATTACAAGTGTGAGCATTTCCCTCACTTATTGATCCAAGAGCATCTATTTGAAAAGAGTTTGTGAGAACTGTATCCATGGCTCTCCCGTCTCGTTTTTCCATCTGGTATTTCTTTGTTGGTTTTCTCTGCTTGTTCTGTGGTTTTGTGCCAATGTTCCCTGCCCAATCCTCCCCTTCTCTTACTTCTTACTGACCTTCTGTTCCTATTTCTTCCTGTGTTTTTCCTGCCAGCTTACTACCTTTCTTCTCCCTTCTATCCCCCCAACTCCTATCCCACCTTTTCCACCCACACATCTTTACCCACAGATGTACATGTTTTCGTTCCCCTCAAACACTTTCCCACTAGCCCCATTCCTCTCCCATACTACTTTCCAATCTGTTGTTGTCCTACTCATCCTCAATGCTATTTTTCACTATTTGTACCACCCTAAACTTCCCATGAGTCCCCCCTGGCTTGCTGTTCTTTTTTTCCCCTTAGAAAGTCTCTTGAGAAAAGACACCTTTATGGCATTAGCAGATAATTCAGTTTTAAAGAACAGAAAACTAAATGCGAGAGAAGGAGGTGCATGGGAATAAAAGAACATTTTGTGCCATGTCAAACTTTACAAAACAAACATTTTAAAAATATTTTGAATATTTTAGACTGATTATGTTTATCAAAATTTGATCCATCTTGGTAGAATCTCTTTGATCATTTGTTATACCTGTGTTGGAATGTTGTTTTAATAAAAAAATATAATTAAATCTATGTGTGTAACTAAAAAAAAATTCTTTCACTTTGTGCTTTGTCAGTTGAAGGCATGTGATACAGGGAACCAAAAAAGCCATCCTGATGAAGAACATAACAGAAAAACAGTCCTACTCATGTTAATAACTATGATTTTGTACAGCAGTCCTGTGTGTGAGAAACAAGCATTGTTTGCTATTTTCCAGTGTATTAAAAGGAATGGATTAGATCCTCAGCTTGTAAGGAAGGTAATTACTGAATTAAAGAAGATAAGTTCAACTACCTGCAGTAAATATTGTTCTACAAATTCCAAATAAATGAAAGTAAGAATCTTGTTGTTGTTTTTTAAGGAAGGATATAAGCATATATATTTCTCCTGCCCAGGATAGTCAGGGATTACATGGCCTTAATTGGCTTGGGGTTGCAAAGCTAAAACAAACAAAACCCCCAGCCCCCTCCACTCTTTCTGTTCATGATTCCGGTAGGGAATATAAACATATAATCGCTTACAATGGCCACATAATCAGAAGAATGGCATGACCTGTACCAGATTAACAGAGCTTTTCCCAGAATTTATGCATGTCGGCAGTTGCTACCGTGGGGAAGAAGGCAATGCAGCATTTCAAGTGCTTCACAAAAATAGAAAATTTCATACTATCTGAATCTGATTAAAGAGTGGCTTGAAGGTGGACAGATTATGCTTCTGTCTTTACAGTAACACTGCAATGTATCATCACTGGGGGCAAGGGGGTACTTTTTTGCAGCCAAAGAGTTTGTGTATATGTCTGTGTGGGTGCGCATGTGTGCATACATCTTTATAAATATGCAGTAAATGCACATATGGATGGATGGATAGATGGATACATAGATAGGTAGATAGCCCCGAGGACAGAGTTATTGATTTCTTACCCCTAATGTTACTTGTTTGTTCACTGAGCTGAATGGGAACACAAATACAATGAGAAGCATCAGTAACAATTTTAAGCATCTGACCCTTACCTTGTTGACACCATAATGCTGTGCTATTAATGGAATTATTTTTGACTATTGACAATCTTATTTATTTTTCAAACACAGGTTTTAGAAAATATTTCTGGCTCTTTTGGTTATAAAAATACAGAAGATTTAATGAGCACCCATTTAGATTATCTTATATTTGAGTGGCTGAACTGTGATTACAGCCTGTCCGATTTTCCATATATTTTGCTAAACTGCTCTACTTTGGAAGAGTTTTACAGGTATGCTTCTAAATCATAGTTTCTCTTTGTAGATTGATTGCTGCAGCATTTATTAACTGATGTGTTGTATTCTGAAAGAAGCTTAAATTCTGCTTTAGCACAAGGAAAATGTATTATTTAATTTTGGAAGTGATTTAATGCATTTAAAACAAGGTTAAGCATCCTTTTCCAGGGATGGAAAATAACATGTATTTTCATTGTCTAATTTGAACTGAGGATTAGAATAATGCTTTGAGGATTCAATTGTTGCATAACAGGGCTTTTATTTTTCAAATGTAATTTCGTCACAATTCAAGGAGATTTTTTAATTACAGATCCTGTTATAAAGTCTTGATTCCACAACTAATAATTAGAGATCAGTTTGAAGAAATAAAATCAATTGCCAGCCACATTAATACAGAAGAGCGCCACCTTCTGGCACAGTGCTTCCCCAAAATCCTTGTCAACATTCTTCCTTATTTTGCCTACCAAAACCATGAACATATTGAATTCACACAAAAGAGCAATACAGCTTCTAGAGTCTATGACATGTTGAAAGATGAAAATTGCTTAGGAAAGCAGGTATCTTTAAAAATTACATTTGATTTTTATAACCTGTAGTCTTAAATGAGAAGAATTTGAATGCTACATGATCCTAAATTTAAAGGCATCAATTTCTAAATATTATTTCAATTCTTGGGTAGAAGTGAATAATTTCCACATCAGAAATATCACTGAAATTCATAGCATTCATATTTAAAGTTATTTTCTTGATATATGTAATTTTAGTCTCATTTTTTTATTATACTCCTTGACTTTTATTAGTAAACCATGTGGATCCTTTGCTATTATTGTCATCAGCAGCCTAGGCTTATTCTTCAGTTTCCTTTTTTCATTTCTAAAATTAATACTGTACTGTATCAGTTTAAAATAAAACTGGATTTCATCCTAAGGATTTCTCCCCAGTCTAAGCAGCCAAAAGAATGGCTGTCCAATCTATTTGTATTTTAAAACAAATTTATAGAAAATGTCCTATTCCAAAGGACATCTTGAAGAAATCTCATCATTATCCTTGGTAATCACTATCCCAGAAAATGTCAAGAAATGTACTGCCTGGTTTTTAAGCTTTTGTTTCAGCAAATCTTTCAATTTGTTTTTCATTTGGCTAGTCACAGGTAGTGCTTCATTAAGTCCTGAGATTCTGTTTTCACATATTGCTTTGCTATTTAGTGCAGGCTCCATTTTAATGTTTCCCAGTGCTTGAGTAACAAAGAAAAACATGTAGAAAAACAACAAATGTGGGTTGGGCGTTCCTCCTATTTTTCCTTTTTAAAGTACATTTTGAGTGGAGTAATTCCTTAATTTTGACACTAAACACTTTTTCAACTTGATTTCAGGGATTTTTTTTTAAATTAGTTTGTGCATCAGGCAAAGTGTTTTTTCAAAAGAACATCTTTTTTTCTGCTTTGCAGGAAAGCGTTGTAGCAAACAAAGAGGAAACTAAATAATTTGTATATTTTATTAAATATAAAACCAGGAGATTGAAAAGTCAGTAGTGTCCATGTTAAATTGTCTTTCGTCATTTAAAGCTATTCAACCTGTCTTTTGTTTTTACAGCTGATAGATAGTTTATTTCATAGCAGCTTACCAGAAATTGTGGTAGAGGTGTTGATGATCCTACATGAGCCAGCCAATATCAAACCAGAAGAGAATTCTGACTTAATTAAGTTTACAGGGTACAGTTTTCCTTTCTCTGTTAATGTGTTGTATATTGTAATGTTAAGAGAAGGTTTCTTTATTTGTAAACTGATTGTCATGAGGATTGAAAGCAAAAGTAAAAGAGATAGTCCTCTTTTAACAACCATTTGTTAAATGGTCGCCTGCATTTACAACCACGGGGTGTTTCAACTTCTCCCACCCACCTATTTATCCCTTTTGGCAGCCCTGTGCTCCACTGCCCCTTCCCTCCCTGTTACCCCCTCCCCCCAAAATCCCTTTTCCGTCTTCTTCTCCTGGCTGCTGACAAAGCATGCCTGGCCGCACTGTTTCCTCTCATGTCTGATATCGTGTGGGAAGGGGACACATTTAGAAACTGGAGATCTGTTTTGTAAAATATTACTGTAACAGTCATAATTTCATTTTGGACAACAAACATTACTGTACTTTTTAACATATACAAGAATATGTTTTTTTCAATCACACTTCAGTGCATTTCAAATTTATGTCTTCTGTGATACTTCCAGCTGATGGAATCTACATTCAGGAATGTCTTTATTGGGACTGTTAGCTAGCCAAGCATATTTTAAAGCAGCTCTTTACCTGCCTGAGATTGAGTCCTTCAGTCATGTTTTTTTCTTCTGTTCAATTGTGTTCATTCTCGAAGACTGCCTGGACAAGTCCATGTAATTTTCGTGGCATGGATTTTTCATAAGTGGTTTCTCATTGCCTCCATCTTAGGGCTGAGAGGGAATGATTGGCCAAAGGCCAAAAATCATGTAGGTGACTTTGTGCCTAAGGCACATTATCTCCTGGTTTCTAGCCTGATGCCTTAACTACTATGCCAAACTGACTCTTTCTTCTATTATAAATGCATACTGATTATTTGAAAAGAGTGAACTTCAGGTCCTGATTAGATGAACTGTAGTAAAGTAAATCCTATTCATAAATTAAAAATGTGTGCTGAAGTTACTCTAATATAGATTAATCTATTTTCTCCTATGAAAATAGAAGAATTCATTCTCATTGAATTCTGTTTACTGTCATTTGAACTATATTCTCTTCTTCAAACATTTTTTTAAAATGTGTGATCTTTTCAATTCTTTCAGAAATCTGGATCCTGCTCCAAATCCTCCTTATTTTCCATCATATATTATCCAAGCTACACTGGATTACATTAATAGATGTTATAAAACTAAGTTCAATGATATTATAGCAATCCTTTCTAAGAACCCTGTAAGTAATTGATGCTCAGTTTTGTGTTATGGTTACACTATTTCTGTATAGTAGTTATGGCATTTTAAATTACTGCGACTATATAGATTATATTTGTTAATACTGGACATCCTTCTGAGCATGGAACTTACTATAAATGTGCAACATAGGCAGAAAAAATATACTAATTTCTACAAAATCAGGCTATGCTATTATATAACCTTTTAAATCTAATAAGTCATCACACTATTAAAATAATAAAATAGCAATGACTGTTGCTTGTCTTCCAGAGATCCTGCATTCATGATCTTGTGTATAATCATTAAACTGAGTGTTAAGCAAATTAAAATTAAAGAAGATAAGAAATTTTAGTACATTATTTGTATGTTGCTTGTTTGGACAAGCAGAATTAATACTGCTTTGCTTTGGTTTGATGTCCAAATTAAGTTAATAGGGATAATTATTTAATGGTATAAGCAATAGCTCAAATGTGACAGAGTTCTTGTGATTTCAATAATTCTGGAAAGATAAGAGATGGTTGAAGCATATTCATACGATCAGTGATCTAATAAGTCATGTTTATTTAAGACTAAATATTTGAAATAAATTGTATTTAAAGATTGATCAGGTAATATTTTCTTTTTGTGTAGGAGTCATTCCACAAAATTTTATTTGCTGTATGGAAGCAGGTATCTGGAACAAGAAACAATTATAAAAAACATAGAATGCTTATGATATATCATTTTTTTGTAAATCTGCTATTGAAAGAAATAAAGACTGGCTTAGGTGGTGCTTGGGCTTTTGTATTGCGGGATGTGATTTATTCTATGATTCGCCACATCAGCAACAGGTATGGCCATTCTATGTTATTCTGTCTTTATGTAGATTCTATTCAATTCTATTTCATTCATTTGAAATGGTTTTTATCCTGATTAGTCCTCTAGTGCAGAGCTTTTTAATATGACTGACATGTGATTTGGAGAGCATACTAAACAAGGTTTTCACCTTACTATGTTTGAGCTTAGACTAGCTAATCGCCTTGTCAAAATTAATTTTCCCAATTCTTGACACGAATCAGGAATTATGGTTTAAAGAAACACTAGCTGTTAAATAACCTAGTGTGGGTTTTTTGTTGTTGTTGCTGTTGACCCAATTAGCAACTGATTAAAGCTTTTTTGTTCATAGCCGAGACATAAAGAGAATGTTGTATGATCCCAAATCTTTGCTTCAATATTTAGCTCCTAGTGGATTATGTTCCATTATTTTTATTTGAAAAGATATATCTAAGATCTTTGCCTTTTGTAAAAATATTTGTATATTTTGTCCTTATTATGGTCTATTCTATAACTGAATCAAATTCATTCTTGTGTGTTATTAGCTATTTTTCTTGTGTTCCTCTTAGACCAAATCCTTTGAGAGGAGTATCCCTCCGGAGCTTCTTGCTCTGTTGTGACCTTCTCAATCGTGTTTGTCACACAGCAGTACAGTATTGTCAGGATGCTCTAGCGAGTCACCTCCATGTTGTCGTGGGTACACTAATACCAATAGTTGGAGAACAACCTGAAACTGAAGAAGAGGTGTGTTTCTGGAGGAACCACTTACTAGACATTTCATTAATCTAATTTTTGGAAAGCAATGTTGTATTATTAACTTTTCATCTAAAAAGTGCAACTGTTTTATTAAGTTTGTATTTCACCTTTTGAATGATACAGAGGCATGCTTGATCATCTTTTTTCCTTTGAAAGTAAAATCCATGTGTGTCATCAGAATTATAAAATTGAATCATGATTTATGAAAAAAATAACTCAGGAACTGAGGAAAAAATTGTTTCAGTTATGTTACAGTTATGAATGTTGAAATCATATTTGGTAATTTTACCTTTTGTAATTTTTGGAGGGCTACAAATTTATGTTTGCCTTAATCATTACCAAAAATTGTGGTAGCATCGCCTCTCGTACATGGAATTCTTATTTATCTGCACTCACATGTTTGCTTGAATAAAATGAGCTGCCAAACTGAATCATATTGCATTGTTGAGAAATTGCAGCTGTAATTTTTGTCTTCAAACAGATAGTGGGGATCTTTGGATGTTCTTTCTTTGTTTTGCACAATAATATGAGGAGCAAGCTTTGTCTTTTTAAAACCTAATTTTTTGCTATGGTGTATCAACTGAAATATGAAGTAAAAATAGAAAAATATTTAGTCCCAGAACTGTTCGTAGAAAGGATGTTTTTATTCAGAAATATGTCTGAATAAAATAAGTCTTTAGTAATATTCATTCCAGAAAACTATTCAGAATTGAAGCCTAAAAGGTTCAAGAACATCCTTGCTTAGCTTCCTGAGTGATGAGACAAAAAGACACAAAAATCTGCCTGTGCCCTTATCTATTATTTCCATAAAGCTAGTTTTGGTAGAAGTAAAATATGGACTGCTAATATAGCAATCATGTGGTTGAATTGTGTGTTAATTCTGTTTAAAAAATGAAAATGTGGTTGCTACAATTACTATAATTGTTGTTGTACTGCTATTTTATTTTTAGGTCTTGAGCTTATTGAAGTATCTAGTGATAGATAATCAGAACAATGAATATTTATACCAAGCAATCAAATTATTAGATCCATTTCCTGATCATCCTCATTTTAAAGAACTACGGGCCACTCAACAAAAGATTAAATACAGCACTGGAAAATTTTCTCTTTTGGAGGTAATATCTTCAGGTTTTAAAAAATGGAATCCAAGGCAATGTTTCATATTGCTGATGATTCTCTTCATCCTATTTGAACTAATATTTTTTTATTTTTTTATTATTTATGTCAAAGCTCTGACATCATAAAGTGATTACAGTTGCATTATATATTAAAAATTAGATGTGTATCTCAGATTTTGAGGATGTATAATGCTTTGCAATAGTCCTTTATAGAAGATTAAATTATGAATTATATCTTCATTGTCAAATTTTATGTTTGCAGGAAATTAACCATTTCTTATCAATAAATATCTCCGATTCACTGTTTTTAACAAGATTGGAAGGTTTAAATGATCTGCACAAACAACTAGAAGATCATAAAGAACAAATAATGGAATTTATGAAAAAATTTCAGGGTATGGATTTTCTAATTCTGATATATCTTTATGTTTTGGTCCTTTCATTCTTTTTCTTTTGTTTTCAAAGATCTAAGTAATAATTCAAACATGTATGCTTTTTCATACGTAAGCTTTACACATTCCTAACTGATTATTAGCATAATACTGGAAAATAATATCAGTATTTCCTAATGAGTTTGTGGGAAAGAATAATCTATCTATCGATATCTGTCTGTCTGTCTGTCTGTCTATCTATCTTTGTTTAGTCAATGAATGCATTTCTTTAATCTTTAATTCTTTAATCTTTAATCTTATAAAACAAGTCTGCTTAAGTCAGACATGTCAAACTCACGACGTCACGTGACGTCGCACAACGTATTGGGACGGTTTTGCCATTGCCAGCAATGGGGTGGGCGCAGCTTCTGGATGACACGTCTGGCCCGTGGGCCAGCAGTGTGACACCCCTGGCTTAAGTGATATTGGTAATCCTCAACTTAATTGGTCACTTAATAACTACTACTATTAAGCTAGTAGCTTATTTTTCTTGGACCTTTGTGAGCCTGTTAATTTTGTTAGTTTTGTTTTATTCCAATACATAGCTGCTGATATTATTGCATTTTATGGGTATTTTAATATAGAAGTTCTTCATTTACTATTTATATTTTCCAATTGATTGTAAAATGTTATAGTATTACTGCTCTTGTTTGGACTCAGAAACAAATCATAACTTTTGATTTGTTAGGGAAAATATGACTGTCAATGAGTCTGCTTATTCTTTTTTTAAATTTTATAAACTTTATTTATGTAAAAATATACAGGTAGCTGTCACTTAGTGACCACCATTGGGACCAACAACTCCATTGCTAGATACTACAATTGTTAAACAGAAAATCTTGTGACTATAACTTACGGTACCTATAATGAGGGCTACCTGTAAAACCTACCTAAAACATCTGCCAATCCATTACAAAATTAGAAGGTAGTGTTAACATAGATCAGGGGTCTTCAAACTTGGCCCTTTTATGACTTGGACTTCAACTCCCAGAATTCCTCAGCCAGCGTGCCTGGCTAAGGAATTCTGGGAGTTGAAGTCCACAACTCATAAAAGGGCCAAGTTTGAAGACCCCTGACAGATAAACAGTCTTCAATGTTATAGGCACTTTCCAGGAACTGAATCTTAATGAAATCAAGACTCAACTTCTGAGTGATTTGCTCTGAAGCCAATATGAACTAGAGAAAGGGAGAAATTTATTTGCTTTGCTTTTTAATAGAAACTGATCTAATTTGTACTTCTAGCCAATGAAAGAAATTGAATGTAGATTACTGTGGGAGGGGGGCTTCTCCAAATGTTTCATCAATCTTTCATCATACATGAATGCTGACAAATGCTTTTTATAGAATGTTATTGAAGCAAAATGGAATATATGCGCTTTTTAAAAATAAAATTAACCATCTCTAGTAAAGACTATGTTTTCAAAAGGAATAAGGAATGGATTGTTACCTGCTTTCTAAAGGTTGTTGAAGAAAATGCCAAGATCAACATCCTCTAAGCACATTTTAGAACAAGGTTGCCAATAAATGTGCTGTCTTTTTTCATTTGCTTCTGTGCTGTTTGGAAAACAGTATCAGAGAAGACAAAACACTTAAGTACTAATATATAATTGATACCTATGATATTACAGATGCTTCTAATATACATTTCTTTTAAATGTTAGAAAATCCAAAGGACTGTATTATAGTAAAGTTGATGGCATATCTGTTACAACTTTCAAAAACAACTGTACATTCTACTGATACTATCTTGGGTAAGTTATCACTTGTTTAAATGGGTGAAGATTTTTAATAGCTTGCTTCATGTAATTTCATTGTTTCTTATAGCCTTACATAATTAAAGAAATGTGTGAAAAAAGTAATTGCAAAGCAATACATGTTTGAATAAATACTGTTTTTAGTTGTATTAATATTGTATTTTTTAAAGTTACTTGATTTGTGGAGGTATTAAACTTTGGGAATTAATTGTCTCCCTAAATTGGGAAATATGGTTTTATATGCAAAAAAAGTAAGCTGCAAAAGCTTGGAGGAGTATATCTGGTTTAAAGCTTGGAGAATTGTTTGGTTTACATCTTCGATTCTGCGTACTGCAATTTCCCTGCCTATTGCATTTTCTCCAGTGGATATCAACTGTCACTGGTCTGTACAGTTCAATTTGAAAGTAACGTAAAACTTGCTTCAATTTAGCTACTGAAAAAATAAGTGATGGCACTGAAAGGAAAGCGAGTAGTCTAAGTTTGTGTACAATCACATAATGTTGGCCATAAATATCCATTTCTATAGTTGTCAAAAGCACTACATCCATATAGTTTGCCTACCGTAGAATGCTGAATAATATTTCCAAAATGAAGGATATTAAATGACTGTACTGGATCAGGATTCCAAGTGGTCCACATTTACCAACCGCAGTTGGGACCAGCAACATGGTTGTTAACTGAAGTGGTTACTAAGTGAAACCACAGCTGTGCTTATGAACTTTGCTTTACAGATCTGTGAAGGTTATAAATATGAGGATTGTTCATAAAGTTACTTTTTCATTATAGTCGTAACTGTGAACAGTTGCTAAACGAGGACTATCTGTGTAGAAAATATACTCCAATGCATATAGAGGGCACTATTCAACTTCCTAACTAGGAAACAGTTGTCAAAAATATGTATACTAAATTCTGAAAATTATCTTCTGCTTCTCTTTTTTTCTTGTTCTACATTCAATTAGTTGATGTTCATCCAATACCTGCTGAGAATATAGCTTCTGCCAAATCTCCAGATTTTCTGTTATTATGTTTCTTAATTCATTGAACAGGAAGCTAACCAATAAAGTACATATAAAAAGAAAATGCACTTCTGTTAATATATGATACATGCATACATTGTAAGCACTATGCAGCTTCTTCTCTCAGATTCTGCCGAAAGTTGTCCTCCTTGCGTATTGATTTCTTTTTGGTTTCTAGTAATATGCAAAACCCATCTTAATAATGTTAATGTTTATATTTGCAGAGGCCGTTGCAAGTTGTTTGGGAGAAATTGGTCCTATAAATTTTTCTACCATAGCATTGCAGCACAGTAAAAATGGATCTAATTCCAATACGTGTGATCTGTTTGAAGACAGAGAACTTCAGTGGGTCTTTGTAATATTAACTCTCATAAATAATTATTTAATAGATCAATGGTAAGTGTATAGTGAATATTCAACACAATATGAATGTATTGTTGGTTTGGGGATATTTTTGTACGTGGGTAGTATTTAATTGTGAAAAAAGGCGTTTACTACTTTCAGTATTGAAGTTCGATCAGCTGCTGCTGCCAGTTTGAAAAACATTTTAGCTACCAAAACAGGACATACATTTTGTGAAAAGTACAAAACCAAGACAGATACAATGCTGATATACTTGAATCCTTTCAGAACATCTAAGAAAAAGGTATTGTATTTTACACCATACAAAATTAAATGAATTGTAAATTTTCTTCCTCGGTTAGAGACAACAACATAGATTAAGGGGCTAATTTTACCCATTTTCAACACAGGTCTCTAAATGTCCAGCTGTGTGCAGCTTTTTTTCAGTTGGCTCCAATCCTTCCCGTATTTTAGTTAATCTAGGGTAGGAAGATAAAATCAGCTCCTCCTCTGAAACTTAAAAACTGTCTGTTCCATATATAAACTTTAGAACACAGCAGTCATTCTGTCCTCCAGTAAGAATAAGCTATGCCTCCTTCAGCAAACCAGATGATCAATTGTATCCAACATCCAGAATAGGATTCACTATGTTTTTCTCAAGGCCCAGTGTTTATAACTCCAGGCTATTCTTGCCATCTTGTTTTTCCTTTTTCAACTCTCTTCCAAGCAGTAGTAAGGGAAAGAAAGTTAAGCAGCTGCTAGTTGCCTTTGTGGCAATCATACAAGTTGGATGTAGATGGAGAGGAGAAATGTATGGGCAATGAATGAAGAGTATTTTAGAATCATAGGATTGAAAAGGGGCCCTCAAATCCAACTTCCGAGCAGTAATCCAAATTAAAGCATACTTTGCACTTGATTGTCCAACTTCTACTTGAGCACATTTCAATTTTGAAATCTGAGGGGGAAAAATTATGGACACTAGTAAAAAGTATTTTCTGTGCAGGGCAAGCTATTTATAAAATGGCTACCAAGGAAGAAAGTTGGAATCTCAAGTTGCAATTGTTGATCTTACAAAGCAAATAGAACACCCATTTCAGAAAAGGAAACTTGCTCAGATGCAAGCACATAGAGTAGAGAATGTTTTATGCAATGTTTTGTGTTCTCAAAGTGGTAGTGTGTGTGATATTGTGACAGTGGGAGAGATAACTAATTAAAGGGGCATTAACTAAATTTAATTTTTTTTCTTACTTTTGTTTCTAAACAATAATGATATTTAGCTCTTGGAGGTGCCTGGAAAGGTAAGAGAGACTCCTCCAGAAGATCTCGATCGTGCAATCTTGTGGATTCCTCACAGTGAAAGTCATGAAATTTGGATTAAGACCTTGACTTGTGCATTATTGGATAGTGGAATGATAACAAGTGAAATCCTCCTGTTGCTGAAGCCTTTGTGTCAGGTAAATTAGATTGACAGGACTGCATGCTATTATTATTTTGTATTATTTTTAAGAGTGGTCTTGATAGGGGTAGGGTATAAACACTTGAATTAAAGAAATTAAAACAGTTCTTTCTATACTGCTTTTTCAGTGACCAGTTGTCAGCCTTGCAGAGTAAACCAAATAGGAATCACAACCAAATAAGCTAATTCTTGTAAGGTTACATTTTGACAGAAACTTGCAAGTCTGAAAGTACAATCCCCACCCCCACCCCATCTTTCTTACAGCCCATGAAACTAGGGAGGATGTCCTCTGTACCTCTTGCCCTGCCCTGTATTCAGTTGCAGGCTACCCTGTCTCTTAAGTGACCATTCTCTTCACTGCGTCTCTCTGACCAAACTCCCAAGTCCTTTCCCACATACCATTACACCAATATTTCATTTTATTTTTATAAAGAAATACGCATTTCTTAGATACTCTGATTTTCAAAAATGAAAATGACTAGTGGCCAATAGGAGAAAATAAGTGGATTTTCAAAACCTTATTTTGCATTTGTTTTAGGTTCATGCTGATTTCTGTCAAACTGTCCTTCCTTATTTAATTCATGATATCCTACTGCACGACTCAAATGAATCTGGACACAGTCTTCTGTCTGCACAAATTCAATCCTTTTTCATGACCTGTTGCAAATACTCGTCACCCAGTAGATCGTCCACGCCTGCAAATTTAGATTCAGGTATGAGACTAAGGCTTCTCCTGTGCTAGAATCTGAGATAAACTATTGAAATATTTTGTTTTTGTGGTGCAGCAGTGGCTATGTCAGCTACAAAATAGCTCCTGCCAACCTAGCAGTTCAAAAACAGACACATGCAAGTAGATAAATAGGTACCACTTCAGTGGGAAAGTAACAGCATTCTGTGCCCCCTTGGCATATGGTCATGCCGAGCACATGAGCACAGAAGTATCTTCGGACAGCACTGGCTCTCTTGGCTAGGAAAGAGATGGGCACCACTCCCTAGAGTCAGACGTGATTGGGCAGAGGAAACTTTACCTTTAAACAACATAAAAGTGGCAGGCATACACAATTCTGGCAGGAGATTATACCAGAGGGTAGGAATTGTTAACATATTCATATACGTTGATAATGATCTAATTATTGGTAATTTTAATGCCTATTCGCCCATGAAGTTTAGATAGAGTTCTGTCTTTAGAACTTACTCCAAATTGGGCTACTCTTGAAGACTATCTGGAAGCGACAACATTTCCAGTATTCAGCATTCCTAGGTTCATCCACATTACACTCATATTGTGTGAACTATGGGACCAGGTTATTTGTGTGACTGTGTCTCTCCAAGGACATCTGCCTATCCCTCAAGATTGGATAAGGTAGTCATGTTCCAGATCCCTTTCCTTAAATTGTGCTATCTTAAGAAGCCTAGGAAGCATGCAACAGAACCCCCCTATGCCTATGGAACACCCTTCCCTTGAGATCTGGTAGGTCCCTATCCTTTTAATGTTCCAAAAAACACTTTAGATCTGATTTTCCCTCCAAGCACTGGCATAGGCATAGGGAAGAGTGTGTTGTTTGCTGCATCACAAAGTTTAGCTGTGGTGTCAGGTATTTCTTTTTGGGGTTTACTGCTTTTGTCTTATTGATTATATCTCTCTATCCAGAGATTTAGGTTTAAGATGGGCTGCCATATAACATTTTAAACTAAATGGATTCATTTAATAAATTGAATGAAAGAAATTCGAAACCACTTTGAAATGTAAAAGTAGCATTCCTTAGGAACATTTTTCAGGTTCTGCATGTTGTATTGTAGGAGTTATTTATGTAAGGCTATTGTTCATTAACGAATTGAATTACTGTGAACATGTTCTTTAATATAGAGTCAGAAACTCCAGCTCATGGACATTTGGATAAAATATCTCGAAGAACAATGCTTGCTGTGGTTGACTACTTAAGACGGCAAAAAAAGTAGGTTTAATTGTTTTGTTGCCTATATTTTAATCTATTACTCCTTTATTCAGAAAAATAAGACTTTGTTATTTTATAGAAATAGGAAGTATACAGTAATAATTGAATCTACCAATTGAAAGTTATTCTATTTGAATTTCTACTATAGATTACATTAATCAATTTCTTTTTTATTCTGGCGTTATTTTAATTTAAAGCAATAAGTATGGCAACACCATGATGAAAATAACTTAGATATGTGCCTCCTTCAATTGGAAACAGTTGTAAAATGTGATTATTGTGTTTGTCTGATATTTTATCCAGGAATCCTTCCAGTACCATCTTTGATGACAGCTTCTGGCTGGAATTAAGCTATCTGCAAGTTGCCATGGTAGCCCAGTCTTGCTCAGCTCACTTCACAGCTTTGCTCTATGCAGAAATCTATGCAGACAAGATAGGCAGACAACAGGAAAGGTAGTGTTAATTGCAGTCTATTCACATTTATGCTAAATCTGTGATACAACTTATATAAAAGTGCGTGGCTTACAGACATCTCTCGCCTTGAAAAGAATAAACCAGCCCTGTTTTTTGTAGTTAAAGTGATGTGCAATACTTCAGATTTGAAGAGTGAAAACTGCTTTGGAGTAGTTGACAGTTCTTTAACTAAATGGATCTTTTCTTGGGATCATACTAAAGCCGATTAGGGCAATCATGCAATCCTGGGAAAATACAGAGTTGCTTGAAACTGAATAGTTCAGGCATGTCAAACTGCCAGCCCGTGGGTCAGATGCATCACGCCGAAACCGCGCCCACCCCATTGCCAGCAGTGGGGGGAAAGTCGTGATACGTCGCGCAACGTCACAAGTTTGACATGGCTGGAATAGATGCTCTGTAAGTGTCATGCATACTCCAAAGCTGCTCTGTTTCTTTCTTTGAATCCAAAGAGTTGCAACTGCCTAATTTCTGGTGCTATTGGTTTGAATCATTGACAGTTTCAGCCTATGGAAAATACTATAAAGAATCAAGTATGGCAAATAGTTTGGTTCTTTCATTCAATATGATCAGGAAAATCATGAATTTCATCTGAACCAAGATTCTTCACTGTTCCTCTTATAATGTCAGAATCATTAATTAATTAAAAGGAGCTTTTGCCAAGAAAACAATTGTTTTAGTTCACAGATTTCACAAAAATATTTTTATTTCACTGATATTTCACAATTAAAAGAGATATATAGTATTGCTTTATTTGTTGTAATTCTAACAAGTGTAAAATACATTAAATACAACAATTCATTTGCAGACCTCACCTAATACATGAAGTAAATGGACATAATTATTAGTTATGATTTGTATTTTCTGAATGCCCAGACACAGTATCAATTCTACTTGGACATCAGTTTTCAATTCCTTTTCTGCAGGTCTGCTTCTAAAGCAACTAAGAAACTAACATTTGAAGAAGGAAGTCAGAATTCAACATTTACTTGTTTAAGTGAGAAGAGTAAAGAAGAAACTGGAATAAGTTTGCAGGTATAGAATTTATTATACTGTACTTAAAAGTGATCATTGAGGTCACTTAGAAAGGTTATGTTTTAATGTGGTTTAATAAAAATAATGCATATAATTAGCAGTACTACATTGCGATGGCACTTATAGACAAATAATTGTCATCTTTTAATGGTGGTAAGATCACTTCCATAAATTAGCAACGTTCCCCAGTTAAATTAGAGTTAATTCCAATTAATTCCAAGCTATTACTATCTCTTGTGTTCCAAAATCTAATTCAGTTTAACAATAAACTACTTAGAATTGAGGTAAGATGTTATTCTCAATTATACTTATTTGAGGCATAATTTGTAGGTTTCGCTAATATTTATTTCAAATTGTGGGATTTTAGTACATATAGAGAAATATTATTCAGTGTTTCTCTGAACAGCAAACTCTTTGCAATAGCATAAACAACTTTTCAGACTCTTATCTGTTTAACAAGTAATTTACTAGATGATAGAGTAATTACTATTCAAGAAAAAAGTCTAAGAATACAAAGTGTTCTTTTTACCAGTCTCTGAACATGAAATAATGAAGTTATTAGAGGCTTCTCCATGTGCTAATAGTTTATAAAACAGTCAACTGCCAGTATTGTTTGTACTTGTTCAGTTGATTACCACAATGTTTTTAAATAACAGGTTTTAAAATAGAGGTAGTCCTCGACTTACAACAGTTTGTTAGTGACCGTTCAAAGTTACCACGGCAGTGAAAAATGCAACTTATGACCATTTTTCACAATCACGACTTTTGCAGCATCTCCATGATCATGTGATCAAAATTCAGATGCTTGGCAACTGGTTCATATTTATGACCGTTGCTGTGTCCCAAGGTCATGTGATCAACTTTTGTGACCTGACAAGCAAAGTCAATGGGGAAGCCAGATTCACTTAGCAACCAGGTTACTAACTTATCAACTGCAATGACTCACTTAACAACTGTGGCAAGAAAGGTAGTAAAATGGGGCAAAACTCACTTAACAAATGTCTCATTTAACAACAGAAATTTTAGGGTCAATTGTAGTCGTAAGTCAAGGACTATCTCTATTCAAGACTTATTTGTCAGTTAGTTTCTTTTTCCCCTTAGGACCTTCTTATGGATATATACAGAAGCATAGGAGAGCCAGATAGTCTCTATGGCTGTGGTGGAGGAAAAATGCTGCAGCCATTGCCCAGGTATTAATTATATTAGAAAATTAACTGTATTGTTTAAAAAAAACCTAGGAACTAAGGTTAAATGTTATTGTGTAATGTTATTTTACCAGGATAAGAACATATGAACACGAAGGAACATGGGGGAAAGCTCTGGTAACTTATGACCTTGAAACCAGCCTTCCACCATCAATTCGACAGACAGGATTGGTAGAGGTAATATAAATGCAAAGTTGTTGCTAAGTACTGCTAATGGTGTGTACTTTTGTATGTTGTTTTATAAAATGTGTTACAGTTTTGGTTTAGCCTTTTATGCTGCCTAGACTCATTTCTGTGAGATGGATGCCTTTACTGAATTGTTTAAATAAATAAATGTACATACGAAGGGAACAAGTTAGCACTTTATTAATAATGCAATTCCATTAACCTAAAATAGTTGTTGTAAATTCTATGACCTATTTCATTGAAAAAGAAATCGTTTAAGAAATAATAAAGTATGTTGATCTTATAAATCGTAATATAATTAATGGTAAAAATAAGATATTTGCAACTAGTAAATATGCGTTGTTTCTAATCTAGATTGGAAATGTTTTCATAAATCAGACTTCACATATTATTATATTAACATTAAGTTTCATTGATTAATAGGCTTTGCAGAATTATGGGCTATGTAATACACTCTCCATCTACTTAAAAGGATTGGAACAGCAGAATGAAGAAAGCTCCATAGAATTACAGGAGATTCGTTACCAGGCAGCTTGGAGGAATATGCAGTGGGATCAGATCTCCTCAGTCAAGTAATGCAAGTTATCCTGAATTTGTTTGTAATTTTTAATGTGTGTGTGTGTGTGTGTATACATATATATATATATTAAAATTGCAATATATGAGAAACAGAATCAATGGTTTTTGTCCATGATTGTCAATTAGCGATCGACAATTGTTTATTTTTCAAGGCACCAAGCATTATGCAAAGAATTTCTTAAATTTGTGAAAAGGGTGGGAAGAAACGGCTGTAATTCTGAACTATCATGACTATAACAGAGAATAACATCCATACTGGCATTCGGCTGTTTCACTTGATTTTATCTTTGCTTGCAGTAAAGTTTCTTATTTAGTCAAACTGTATCTGGGAAATGTCTGTGGAGGTCTAACCTAAGAACTATGTTTAGCTGTGTAAATTCTATGATTTAAAGCTCAGTTATGATACGGGAAGCCTTATAGAACATGTTAACAACTATGGGAGTTTTTAGGCCTTATAAAGATGATTATTGTAAAATTTAAGTCAAAAACTATACTGTTGCTTTTACTTTAAGAGATGAAATAGAGCAAAGAGGCTACCATGAATCACTGTATGATGCTCTACAATGTCTACGGGACAGAGATTTTTCTACTTTTTATGGAAGATTGAAATGTGCCAGGTAAGAAGCCAGCTTTAAAACTGTTGTGTATATGTTGTTAACAAATAAAGTATTGATGAATGTCACATTTTCTTATGTGTTGTAGTTTAAATTAGCCAATAAATGTACATCATCAGCAGAACGTTCTTTCGGAAAACTTTTGCAGCAATTTTTAAAAGTTAAACCTTTTGCTTACAGTGTGAATCATAAAGCAGTGGAAATCTTGACAGATAATACATTTGGAAAATCAGCAGTAAGGCATAAATCTTTATGAAGGTGTAAACTGACTTTTAAAAAAGTTTTCCAGACTAGACAAAAGTATTAGTGATTCTTCTGTATGTCACATCAACATCAGCTTACAATCTGCATGGTTTTATTCAATAACATGCATTTTGATATCTGTGTTCTTTTCAAAGTTTTTTTATAGTTAAATGAAATATTCTTCATAATTTCTGCTTAATGGCTTTTGAGTAGGTTTGCCTATAAACAGTGGATTATAATTATTTCTTCCTTTTATTTGTAGAATCAAAGAAGTAGAAGAGCTACTGAAAGGCAGTCTTGAGTCTGTATATTCATTACTGCCTACGCTGTGTAGGCTACAGACAATTGGAGAGCTGGAATATGTAGGACAACTTTTCTCTGGGTATTTTACTATTTCTTTATACATTATTTTAGTCCTCTGAAAATTTTCAATGCTTCGACTGTGTAAAATCAAAGTCTCTTAAATGTGTGATGCTTCGTTGTATGCCTAAAAAAAAAATTAAAAATATAAATAGTATAGCAATAGCACTTAGACTTATATACTGCTTCACAATGCTTTGCAGTCCTCTCTAAGCGGTTTACAGAGTCAGCCTATTATCCCCAACAATCTGGGTCCTCATTTTACTGATGTTGGAAGGATGGAAGGCTGACTCAGCCTTGAGCTGGTGAGAATCGAACTGCTGAACTGCTGGCAGAAGTAAACTGCAGGACTGCACTCTAAGCACTGTGCCACCATGGCTCTTTATATTACACTTTTTGCTGAGTAATTTAATGAGCTCATTAAGTAGCATTTTTTGCCATTGGGCTGGACTCAAACACAGTCATGCTTAAAGTGAAATATTTAGCTCAATAATATAACTAGAAGTCTCATTGATTTCAGAGAGTCTGCTATAAACATAACTAAATCTGGAACCAGCCCATGACGGTAGCGGTGTAGAAATGTGATAAACAAAACCTAGGGTTTTTTTTTAAAAAAATGTACCATACAGTACAGGTTAGTAACGCCCTGGAGGCTTATTCTTCATTGATTTGCCTTCAAACGCCTAAGGGACTTGGCTCAAATCTTAAGACATTAACAATTAAAACACTTCTTTATTCCTACTTGGTTCTTATGTACACTTCCAAACACAAGTATGCCTAAACCAGATTTCTGAGCAAAACATGAGTATGAATGTGAAAGGTATAATTAGTTTCCTACATTATACTTCTATATTAGATGGGAGTCCTCCTGGATCCACGGCTGACACTGGAAGATCATTTGTCGGCCGTGACCAGGGGGGCGTTTTATCAGGTGCGCCTGATTTACCAGTTGCGCCCCTTTCTGGACCGGGACGCTTTGCGCACAGTCACTCAGGCCCTCGTCACCTCTCGCCTGGACTACTGTAACGCTCTTTACATGGGGCTCCCTATGGGGAGNTCTCGCCTACATCGTCCATATAGGACGACTCGGGAACTCAACTCCTACCCCGGGCAGCTCACCTATCCCCTTATGCCCAGGGGAAAGGTATCAAGCCGTTTGACAGCAGATGCTAGCTGTCAAACCGGCTTTTACGCAAAACAGGCGGGAGGCAGCAAACAGCTGCGACCGACGAAATCGCCTGCCACCGGAAGTCCAGAAATAATAAAGTATATTGATCTTATAAATCGTAATATAATTAATGGTAAAAATAAGATATTTGCAACTAGTAAATATGCGTTGTTTCTAATCTAGATTGGAAATGTTTTCATAAATCAGACTTCACATATTATTATATTAACATTAAGTTTCATTGATTAATAGGCTTTGCAGAATTATGGGCTATGTAATACACTCTCCATCTACTTAAAAGGATTGGAACAGCAGAATGAAGAAAGCTCCATAGAATTACAGGAGATTCGTTACCAGGCAGCTTGGAGGAATATGCAGTGGGATCAGATCTCCTCAGTCAAGTAATGCAAGTTATCCTGAATTTGTTTGTAATTTTTAATTGTGTGTGTGTGTGTTAAAATTGCAATATATGAGAAACAGAGTCAATGGTTTTTGTCCATGATTGTCAGTTAGCAATCAACAATTGTTTATTTTTCAAGGCACCAAGCATTATGCAAAGAATTTCTTAAATTCGTGAAAAGGGTGGGAAGAAACGGCTGTAATTCTGAACCATCATGACTATAACAGAGAGTAACACCCATACTGGCATTCGGCTGTTTCACTTGATTTTATCTTTGCTTGCAGTAAAGTTTCTTATTTAGTCAAACTGTATCTGGGAAATGTCTGTGGAGGTCTAACCTAAGAACTATGTTTAGCCGTGTAAATTCTATGATTTAAAGCTCAGTTCTGATACGGGAAGCCTTATAGAACATGTTAACAACTATAGGAGTTTTTAGGCCTTATAAAGATGATTATTGTAAAATTTAAGTCAAAAACTATACTGTTGCTTTTACTTTAAGAGATGAAATAGAGCAAAGAGGCTACCATGAATCACTGTATGATGCTCTACAATGTCTACGGGACAGAGATTTCTCTACTTTTTATGGAAGATTGAAATGTGCCAGGTAAGAAGCCAGCTTTAAAACTGTCATGTATATGTTGTTAACAAATAAAGTATTGATGAATGTCACATTTTCTTATGTGTTGTAGTTTAAATTAGCCAATAAATGTACATCATCAGCAGAACGTTCTTTTGGAAAACTTTTGCCGCAATTTTTAAAAGTTAAACCTTTTGCTTACACTGTGAATCATAAAGCAGTGGAAATCTTGACAGATAATACATTTGGAAAATCAGCAGTAAGGCATAAATCTTTATGAAGGTGTAAACTGACTTTAAAAAAAGTTTTCCAGACTAGACAAAAGTATTAGTCATTATTCTATATGCCACATCAACATCAGCTTATAATTTGCATATGTTTTATTCAATAACATGCAGTTTGATATCTGTTATTTTCAAAGTTTTTTTGTAGTGAAATGATTTCTGCTTAATGGTTTTTGAGTTGGTTTGCCTATAAACAGTGGATTATAATTATTTCTTCCTTTTATTTGTAGAATCAAAGAAGTAGAAGAGCTACTGAAAGGCAGTCTTGAGTCTGTATATTCATTACTGCCTACGCTGTGTAGGTTACAGACAATTGGAGAGCTGGAATATGTAGGACAACTTTTCTCTGGGTATTTTACTATTTCTTTATACATTATTTTAGTCCTCTGAAAATTTTCAATGCTTCGACTGTGTAAAATCAAAGTCTCTTAAATGTGTGATGCTTCGTTGTATGCCTAAAAAAAAAAATTAAAAATATAAATAGTATAGCAATAGCACTTAGACTTATATACTGCTTCACAATGCTTTGCAGTCCTCTCTAAGCGGTTTACAGAGTCAGCCTATTGTCCCCAACAATCTGGGTCCTCATTTTACTGACCTCGGAAGGATGGAAGGCTGACTCAACCTTGAGCGGTGAGAATCGAACTGCTGGCAGAAGTAAACTGCAGGACTGCACTCCAAGCACTGTGCCACCATGGCTCTTTGTATTATACTTTTTGCTGAGTAATTTAATGAGCTCATTAAGTAGCATTTTTTGCCATTGGGCTGGACTCAAACACAGTCATGCTTAGAGTGAAATATTTAGCTCAATAATATAACTAGACGTCTCACTGATTTCAGAGAGTCTGCTATAAACATAACTAAATCTGGAACCAGCCCATGACGGTAGCGGTGTAGAAATGTGATAAACAAAACCTAGGGTTTTTTTTAAAAAAAAATGTACCATACAGTACAGGTTAGTAAAGCCCTGGAGGCTTATTCTTCATTGATTTGCCTTCAAACGCCTAAGGGACTTGGATCAAATCTTAAGACATTAACAATTAAAACACTTCTTTATTCCTGCTTGGTTCTTATGTACACTTCCAAACAAAAGTATGCCTAAACCAGATTTCTGAGCAAAACATGAGCATGAATGTGAAAGGTATAATTAGTTTCCTACATTATAGTTCTATATTAGATCTATAAATAAATAAATTCCTCAAATGGTAAACATATGGAGGATCTTGTATATTATTGTTCTCTATGACTGGCTAAATGTAAGCATTATGATCACAAACCCCATATTTTATTTGGAATATTGCTATTGCAATATAGCAACACTTTCCAAGCATCCACAGGCTCTCTTTGCTTTCATCAGAATAAAAGCACCATTACAAGCATTATTCCTTTTAGGAGTATGTGCAGTACTGTGACACATGTAGGAAAGGAGTGGTGTTTGCACCCTCCTTCCCTCATTGACACTGCATTCTCAAAAAAAACTCCTGTAAAAAAATAATTCACTCAATCCTGGTAGTTTTTCATGTGCTTAGTAAAGATTTCATATAGAGATTTTAATTTCTCACCTGCCATTTACAGCTTGATCCTAGGTTTTAAACTAAGGCCTATTTGTGGCTAACACTTTATTAATGTTTAGTCAAAGCTTCTTAGTTTTATTCTTTGCTTTCAGGTCAGAAACTAATAGCCAGTTGCATAATTTGCATCTGAAGTGGCAGAAGCAGTCCCAACTTCTTCAAGATAGTGACTTTGCTTTCCAAGAGCCTATTATGGCTTTGCGTACAGTAATTCTCAAGATTCTTCTGGAGAAGGAAAATGAGAATGTCCAAAGGGAATGCATTAAAAACATCCTCACTGAACATCTTGTGGAACTATCCAGATTGGCTCGAATGGCGAATAATTCACAAGTAAGAATCAACCGTAACTATTTCCCGAAATATAAGCCTATGCTTTTATTAACATGCAAATATTGGATGTATAAAAGATTTATCTTTAGGCAATGATTCTTCATAGAAACTGAGCTTGTCAGCTGGAAAACTAACAGCCTGGGTTCAAGAACTGACAGAGTGAAATCCCGTTACTTGCCCAGCTCCTGGCCACCTAGCAGTTTGAAAGCATGCAAATGCAAGTAGATAAATAGGTACCACTTCAGTAAGAGTGTTCCGTGCGCCTTGGCATATAGTCATGCTAGCCACATGACCTCGGAAATGTCTTCGGACAATGCTGGCTCCCTCGACTAAGAAATGGATATGAGCACTGCCCCCTAGAGTCAGAACAACTGGATAGGGCAGGGGTAGGCAACCTTGGCTCTTTTATGACTCGTGGACTTCAAGTCCCAGAATTCCTGGGAGTTGAAGTCCACGAGTCATAAAAGAGCCAAGATTGCCTACCCCTGGGATAGGGGAAACCTTTACAGTTACTAGCATACTCTCAGAATGTTTCATTCCACAAAAAGTAGTCATAAATGTATCTTTGCTAAAAAAAAAGAGGTATTGTAAATGAAATACATTGTTCTAGTAACCATAAGATTCTATTTTGGTGTTTGTTCATAAGTAATATCAGCGAATATCCTTCCATCATAAAGTGGATATCTCCCTCCTTTTCTCTCTCTCTCTCTCTCTCTCTCTCTCTCTCTCTCTCTCTCTCTCTCTCTCTC